TCTCTCTCTCTCCCTCTCTCTCTTTCTCCCCCTCTCCCTCTCTCTTTCTCCTTCTTTCCAGGTGTTATTAACTTAGGTGCTTCATGTACTAATAATATATACGACACCACGCCCACCAACCATACCCCCACGCCCTCTAAAGAGTACTCTAGCCTTGCCCACAATGGCGAGAGGCCGGAGAGGATGAGGGAGTGGCTAGTTCGTATGATTGATAGCGGTCGGTTCATGGGGCTGGAGTGGATGGATCAAGAGGCGGCCATTTTTAGAGTCCCGTGGGTCCACGCTAAAAAGAGAGACTATAATCAGGAAAGAGACGCTGCACTGTTTAAGGAATGGGCTATACACTCTGGTTAGTTAACTATTAATAATAGTTAATAATAGTTTACTGTTGATATGATTATTAAATTGTTATTGATAATCATTAATAGTCATGAATAGTTATGAATAGTTATTGATAGTTATTAATATTATTGGTAGTCAATTAAACATGCATGGTAATATTAAGTTCTCTCTCTCTCTCTCTCTCTCTCTAGGTAAATATGGTGATGGCTCAGACGTTACAACTTGGAAGATTAATTTCAGATGCGCCCTGAACGGATTGAAGGACATTATAGAGAGGAAGGAGCTTGAGGGTCCAGACTGTAGAGTGTACCAAATGCTACCGTCATCATCCCCTGGTAACTAATATGAGTCCTTGTTGTCATCCAGTGTGTGTATGTGTGTACATATACATGAAGCCTTATAAATGAAGGGCAATAATAACAATAACAATAATAATAATAGTAACAACAATTAGCTATTATAATAAAATAGTAATATCAACAATAACAATAACAATAATAATGACATAATGTTTGTAGTAGTATCAACAACAATAATAATAAATGATTAAACTTTTATATTGCAATAATAGTAATAATACTAGACTATAATTTTAATTAAATAATAATATTGTTATTTTTTAGGCCGAAGGAGGAAAAGGCGTCGCCCCATTATCCACTACAGTGAAATGATGCAGCTCCAGTCTGGGACTCCGCCCGAGAGAAGTATCCGCCCGAAACTGGAGCTACCACTAGGAGGAGGTGTGGCTTATGCTAACTCTGACACGCCCACCACGCCCATACCAACAAGTAACTTAAATATGGCGTCATCGAAATGTATTAATGTTTTTTACATGTACCTATAGCTCCGATACATTTGGTTCCGATAGTTACCTGTGCAGCTAATTTTTCTTTTCCAATTCCGGTCGCTACCATCCAAACCACACCCACGACAGCTCAGCAGTTTCCTCTCACTCCTAGTCCAACTTTGATCCCAAAATACCGTCCGTTTATTCCTCATACTATTCGTACTAATTTAGACACGCCCCCTGATAATGAGACACATGTTGTCCTTCCACGGCAGAGAAACTACGGTAGTACCAGTGGGGGGAGTGAGCGATCGATGACTCCATCGTCTGCTAACGAAGTAATTTATTTTATTTATTTTATTTATTTATTTATTTAATACTAATTTTTTATAGTTTATATGCACATGTATGTACTTAAGTTTCATAGAAAGTTTGAGCTGATTTTTTATTTTTTTTAAGTTGCTCTGGTCAAAGCCTCTGTACTATAGTACATGGTCTCGGGCCAAATTTTTCCAAAATTCAAAAGGAGAGAATTCTTCATTTTTATAATGTTATCTGATAGATATACATGTACTTATGTTGTGTAGAAAGTTTGAACTAATTTTGATCAAAATTAGATTTTTTACGAATTTTTTAAGTTACTCAAAAATTGGGCCAAAGTCCCTGTACTATAGTACAGGGATTTTGGCCAAATTTTGCCAAAAATGAAAAGGTGAGAATTCTTAATTTTTATAATGTTATCTGATACATATACATGTACTTATGTTGTGTAGAAAGTTTGAACTGATTCCGATCAAAATTGGATTTTTTACGAATTTTTTAAGTTACTCAAAAATTGAGCCAAAGTCCCTTTGGTCAAATTTCGCCAAAAATGAAAAATGGGAATTTTTCATTTTTATAGTGGTATCTGATACATATACATGTACTTATGTTGTGTAGAAAGTTTGAACTGATTCCGATCAAAATTGGATTTTTTACAAATTTTTAAAGTTACTCAAAAACCTGGCCAAAGTCCCTGTACTATAGTGCATAGTCTCGGGCCAAAATTTCTCCAAAATCAAAAAGGATAAAACCCTTCATTTTTGAAAGTTATATTTGTCACAAACAGCTCAAACTAATAATCATTATTTTCTTCTAATCGCTACAGGTCAATGTTGCTGCAAGATCTCCTATGATACTATCTCCTAATGCCCTGCCCATTGCCACGCCCACTAATTACGTATTTTCTCCTAAAACAGCCGAGAATAAAGTGCTAGGAGTACCTCTGTACCCGCCCCTTAAGACTGGGAGAGTAAGATGGCCGCCAGCACAATTTGCAAACAGTGAGTAACTTAATTACAATAATATATATATATAATACCAAATTTTATTTGAGAAAAAATTCCATCAAAAATTAAGATTTGCCTGCTATAGAATGCAGAAGTTAGTTAGTAAACTGATATATTCACGAAACAAAAAGCTGACGAAATTGATGGAATTTTTCCTCAAAAAATCAGCATTGCTTTATACCGTACAACTAACTATAATTCTTCCATTTATTCTTATTTCCCTAGATCCTAATGCTCTTACAATTCGTATCATGTATGGTTCCATCACAGTACACATGGAGACTTTTGACTGCTCTAAAGGACTGAGGATATTCTATGGCCCCCTCCATTGCAGGGACGTCCTCTCTCCTCAGGAAGAGGAGATGCTTTTTGGACCCCTTAGCGCCCACCAGCTCTCAATATCTCCCCGCCACCCCAGCCCCCTTTCCACAGAAATTTTCAGAACCCTCAAGAGGGGTCTGATAATCGAGGCGAGCGAGGGGGCAGTGTATGCGACGGCTTTATGTCGGACTGTCATTTACTCTGGATCCTCTCCGATGAAAAACTCCGGGTCGCTCGAAAAAGAAGAAAAAGTCAAGGTTTTTGATTTTCGTAGCGGGTTTCTCCCGGAATTAAAAACTTCTTTAGAAACTCGCTCAAACGTAGTACCTAAACCTTACGCCCTCTTCAGTTTTGGACAGCACTGGGGCTCTGATCGTCCGCTATTGAAAAACCTCATAACTCTAGTCGTCTCTCACTGTGGGGCTCTCAACGAGCTAAAGAACTCCAACGTGACCCTCTACGACGAGTTACTCTATGAACCAATTGAGAATCAAGACATACGAATTATATCGCCTACTAAAATGGACTTGGAAGCCGAGGAGTTTCTTAACCCTTCGTCATCATCATCGTCTCCTTAGAATACATTTTTCCTCTTCCCTCTCTCTCTCTCTTTTACATTTTCGTTTTTCTCCGTACTCAGTAATTTTATTCGTTGAATATTTGAATGGGAATATTTATTAATCTCCTCTCTCTTTCTCTTAATACCAATCCTTATGCTCAGGCTATTATACGCATTATCCATTTCTCCTCTTCACATATGCACGTTAATGTCATTGATGTTTCTTTTCTCATCGTTCATTCTAGTTTATTCCTTTATATCTTTATTCAAAAATTTTTCTTTAATTTTCAATTCCTCTCTCTCTCTGCTTAACTTTTCTTCAATTTCATTCATTTCTTTTTAAAATGAATCTCCCTAATTTTTTCTCATTTTCACATTATTATTATTATTATTTATAATGTTTCTCTGCCCCAAACGATTCCTTTTACTTTTATATTGCAACTTTTCTTCTAATTTTTCACTTTATTTTTTTTAGATTTTAATAATAATAATAATAACGACAATAATTAAATTCAATTTGTCATCTAAAAACACACAATAATTTAGCGTCATTAATTTGTTTATTGCTGCTGTTGCTCTTTTGGATTGTTTACTTTGACTCCGCCCATTTCTAGTATGTACCGATCAGGACTTTCCTCCCACATTTCTTTCAAATCTTCTCTGTGTATCTATTTTTAGTAACAAAAAAATCTATAAGTGGGTGGAGCTCAAGGCACAATTAAACAATAATAATTATCGTATAGCTCCAAACAAAAATTTCGCCAAAATCTTCAAATTAATATTCGTTATTAAAATTAGACGTTTCTACCACCCACAAGTGTAGAGCGAAAATTTCAATGATCTAACATAATTCCCAGACAAATTTTTAACAGCCAAAAATTTGGTAATTGATGTACATAAAAAACTTATTATTTTTTTACCTTTTGTCTCCTCTGTCTTTCCTTCTTCTCCCACTCTCTCAGTCTCCTTTGTGATTCAGCTGCTTCCTTCCCTCCACAACCCCAGACCTTTAACAAGAATCATAAATATCCTTCCTTCTCTCCCCTCTCTCCCTCTCTCTCCCTCCCTCTCTCTCTCTCTCTCTCTCTCTCTCTCTCTCTCTCTCTCTCTCTCTCTCTCTCTCTCTCTCCCTCCCTCTCTCTCTCCCTCCCTCTCTCTCTTTGTCTCTAATTATACCTCCACTTTCTGTATATCAAGTGTAATATTTCCTTTATAAGTTGCTGTGTTGAGACTTGAGTCAATCACAAGAAGTGGTTCCTTGTATGAGGTATCTGACATGAATCTAATACCAGTTGGAAACCCACGCTGCTTCTCATTCAGAGATACCAATTTAGCTCCCTCTGGTTGATACATAAGGACAAAAAGGGAGAGTAATATATTTGTATTTAAGAATTATTTTTGGCACCAAATCATGGTGTTACTCCAAGGGCCAAAAATGACTCGAAAATTAGTGATTTAATCATCATATGCATTATTCAAAAAGCAAAACACAATCTCTCTCTCTCTGTTACTTTTTAATAAAGTAAAAGATGGCTCCAGTTCCAGTAGAAAGCAGTTATCCTCTCCCCAATAGTGGGACCCATCCCTCCATTCTTTATCTACTCCAATCACAAACTGTCTCACTTCGTCCACGGCTCTATCCCTACACGTCAGAAGGAGTATAGAGGGGTCACGATAATCTGACGACAGTGACATAAACCGTGTGAAACTCAACCCGTCGCGACTGCTGGAATAAAGTAACATCCAAGTACCACCTACTGGATGCTTGTTACTAGACTGAGAGGAAGAGAGGGGGAGAGAGAGAGGAAGAAAAAATCAGCTTAAACTTTAAACACAACACAAGAACATGTATATGCATAAAAAACACTATTAAAACGGAGAATTCTGTCAGAGTAATTTTTTGGTGAAATACCCTGTGCCAAGTTTTAGAGCAACTTTAATTGTTTGTTGACAAAAAGTTGAGCACTATACCAAGATCCTGTGGGAAACCCTGCCCTTCCTCAAGGACTTTTACCTGAAGAGAACTCTCTTGGCTCCTGTGTCCGAGATAAGCTAACGGTATGATGGTAGAGAGAGCCCAAACTAGCAAATGTAAATCAGCTTCCTCCATGCCTTCTTCTATCTTAGGACAAGGAAGCTGATACTGGGTATGCATTGACTGCAGAATAAAGAAAAAGAAAAAAGAAAAAAAATACCAATAAAAAGAATATATGGTATAATAGTAAATTGTATTGCAATACAATTACATTATCGTCATCTGTGTGGTCTCCATGTAGTAGTGTTTCGGTCCAGTGCTGTAGACCCTCAAGTAGTCTTGGACAGTGTTCGGTCATCCATACAGCAAACTGAGCAGCTGTTAGCTCGTGAGTAGCGGAATCGGTCATTAACATCTGAGAAAGAGAGGGGGGAGAGAGAGAGAGGGGGAGAGAGAGAGGGAGAGAGAGAGAGAGAGAGAGAGAGAGAGAGAAAGAGAAGTAACCAAAGGACATTTTAAAAAGGAAGAAAGAGTGGCAGAGAGTTGTTGGGGTGATATTTACAGATGCGGAAACAAGAGATGAAATGATGGGATGGTCCCGAGGAACTTTAGCTCTCTCATGAAGATCAGAACCAACTACTAGTGCAAACATGGCGGCTGTGTGTATTACTTCCGCCAAACCTAAATAAAATTAAAAAATAAGGAATATAATAATTATAGTAAAACTAACTTTTTTGGTCCAATTTCTCTTCGCCGTGTGAGAAAACATAAAAGAAGTATTTTTCGGCTTCGTGAAGGCGACAATCACCAGCTGTAAGAAATAATATTTAATTTGAAAAATTGTGAGTTATAGAACTGAAGTTACGTCTACAATTAATAATTAATTAATAATAATGAATATTAATTAATTAATTAAGTACCTAATAAAGTTGAAAGTGTTTTCATTTGTTTGACGAAGGTCTCTTTATCAACGAATCCGACATCCTTGAACAACCTGTCGTGAAGATACTGCCCAAACTTGACGCATGGGCCTCCAAAGTAGTTGCTGAAACGAGTCTGAGAAAATAAAAATAAAAATAAAAATAAAAATAATAATAATAATAATAATAATAAACAGGGGGATAGAAGTAGTGTAATTAATAATAATAATAATAATTCTACAGGTTATAATGATTACTTTAAAAATGACATCTGGTTCTGCTTTCTTTCCATCTCCCTCAGCAGTATTTAGCTCCTAAACAAACAATAAGTGTTATTTTATACATTCTCTTTCCTTTCAATAGCAAAAGGCGAGTAGGGTGCTTATTGCAGCTTGCCTCTTACCTCGTACAGGCTGGCATATCTCTTCTCAGCATTAGAGGGACGGGGAGTCTTAGCAGCAGCAAGAGGTGAAGAAGAAGATTGCCCCATATTTGAATGAACCCAGTGACCCCTAGAACAGCCTACAGGAAATCATTAAAAGAAATTAAGGAATAAATGTAGTCCACGACTCCACGTTACATGCATTGTTTGCAGTTGATGAAGGGTGTGGCTCAGTCTGGGCGTGGCTCATTAATAATTAAGCCACGCCTTCTTTGATTTAGGTGCTTTCCCCAAAGCAAAAAATGGCTGCCTAAGCAATAACAATTTTGAGGCCGAGAAAGATAGTCAAGCAAAGAAATACCAAGCGTAAGATTATAAAAACTACCTTTATATGTCCATATAAAGCATTATATATCAATAGAGATCCTGATAGTTCTATTATTGATATTTAAAAGCCGCCTTTTCCAGTTTGTGTCATGTCAGAATGGACGTCAAGATAGGAGTACGCGTGGTACGTGGCCCTGACTGGAAGTGGGGTCAACAGGATGGTGGCGAGGGATACGTTGGTACCGTCGTTGAAGTACGAACGGCCGACACCACTCCTGCTTCTTCGGAGGACGGGGGTAGCTCCCTAGTGACCCCTCGTGCTGTCCTAGTACAGTGGGACAACGGTTCAAGGTGTAACTACAGGTGTGGGATTGATGGGAAGTATGACCTTTTACTCTATGATAATGCACCAGCTGGTAAGAGAAGAGATACATATATGTACATGTACATATTTGAAGCATTCTCTTCACCTTTATCTTTTTCCCCTCTCTTCCTCTCTCTTTCTCTCTCTCTAGCTGTCCGTCATCCTAACATTACCTGTGACAGCTGCAGACAGAACGGGATAGAGGGCCTCAGATACAAGTGTGTCAATTGTTTTGACTTCGATCTTTGCTTCTCTTGCTACATGAGCAGCAAGCACAGCATGGAGCACAAGTTCATACTACAAGAAGCTCCGGAGGCACCCTTGTAAGTTGCAGCTGCTTTTTCGCTGCTTCTAAAATCAAAAATACTTTTCTACTTTTCTTCTTCTCTTTTTCTCTTAAGTGTTAACCTACCACTGAGGTGTGACAGCTCCCGTTTGGTTGCTAAGGGTCTTTTCAAGGACGCTGAGGTCACTAGGGGATACGATTGGCTTTGGGGGGATCAAGACGGTAAGGGAATGGGTGTGGCATTTATTAATGGGTGTGGCTTTCATTACAGGTGGGATTGGAAACATTGGTCATTTGGTGACTATAAAAGGCTGGGAGAAAGACACTTTTGTGAGTTTTGAATTTTGTCATCTTTTATATCATTTTTTAAAAACATCGACTCTTTTTCATTTGCTCTTTTTATATGCAGAGAAGCGTTGCCGAAGTAGAATGGAAAAAAGGAGGAAAGAAAAATGTTTATAGAGTTGGCCACAAAGGAAAAGTAGGATTTTAACTTACATTTATAATAATAATAATAATTAATAATCACTAGGTTGATATTAAGGCGATCACTCCCGGTGAGTACGGCTACTATTTCCCAGATCACCTTCCAGTTCTTGGAAAGAAGATACAAGAAAAGGATATATATGATACAAAAGCTACTCCAGCTGGTAAAGGGAGTGATGGAGGGATTGCAGCTGGTGATCAAGTCCGTGTTCAGTTGGACGTTGATGTCTTCAAGGCTCTTCAGGAAGGACATGGCGGATGGAATGACGACATGGCCCAGGTAAGAGAATGAAGGTGGTGGTCCTAGTTTTTTGATGATTGAAGCTCTTTTTCAAACATCCATGTGCATAATTTAGATAGTATTTGAAATGATTTTGATGATTTTAAATGTCATTGTATTTGTTCTTAAACTCTTCTGTTCTCCCCCCTCTCTTTCTCTCCCTCTCTTCCTCTCTCTCCCCCCTCTCTCTCCCTCCCCTCTCTCTCTCTTCTCCCAGCTAATAGAGCAAATGGGCACTGTCCACAATGTCCTTGATTCAGGTGACATCAGAGTCCGTTACCCCAACAACAGGACATGGACCCTTAATCCTGCGTCTCTTACCAAAGTGACCCAGTTTGCCGTTGGAGACGTTATCAAAATAATTGACGACATAGCTCTTGTGCACGACCTTCAAGAGGACCACGGCGGCTGGGTAGACGACATGGCTTTGGTGAGTCAATGGTATAATGGTGATTTCTATTTATAGTAACGAAGTGTCGTATACATGTGCACTGTATTGCTATTAATAGTAACTCAAATCCTATTTATAGTAACCTATTAATAATTATTTATTTCTATTTATAGACTAATAAAATTTCATGATTCATATTTATTAATAGTGACTAAATCTATTTTTAGACTTTGGGTCAAGCTGGTCGTGTGGTACGAGTCTTTCCATCAGGTGATCTCAGGGTCAGTGTCAATGGTCGCTCATGGACCTTCAATCCGCTCTGCATGAACGCAGCACCTGATGAAAACCCTCCAGAAGCACCTCGTAAGATCATGTGACTATCATGTGACTTATTTATTTATTAATAGCTGATACTGACAATGGATTATTGGATGGGCTTGGGGGCGGAGTCGATATAGAGACCCAACTCAGGCTATTGACGCTACTAGAGAACCCTGCTGTGGTGGTAGCCGCTGCAGCTGCTAATGATACCAATGCTTTGAGAGAGTTCCTCGTAAAACACCCGTCAGAGGTAATACAAGATTATTATATTATTATTATTATTTTTTTTAATTTTATTATTAGGTCAATGCTAAAGCAGCTGGTAAAGCCGCTCTTCATTGTGCTGCTGTTGCTGGCCATATTGAGATTATCAAGTGTCTCTTAGAATTCAAGGCCAATCTCGAGATAGAGGTAAGAGACATCACATGACTACCTCAAAATGTCACATGATAATGTACATGTACATGTAGGACGAGGACGGAGACAGACCTCTACATTTATGTGCCTATGGGTGAGTTTTTAATCCGCCATATTGAACCTTATTTATAGCAATATTTAACGCTATTTTTATACAATATTTAACCCTTTCTAAACTATATTTACAACCCTTTATTTAACCCTTTTTAAACTGTAGTGACGAAGAGGAAGCTGCCCAGTTGTTAATTGACAATGGAGCAGACGTTAATGCTCGGAGTAAGCGTGGCATGACCGCACTCAACCTCTCAGCTATCAAGGGTCACACCAGCATACTCAAGGTTCTGATACGAGACCAGAACATTGACCTCAGTGCAGCTGTAAGTGAGAGGAGTGAAATAAAGGAAGGAAATAACATGCTTATGATGATAAATATACATGTACATAGCCATAACTTAACATGTACATGTATGTGTATGTGCATGTATATGTCAATATGTATCACGTACAAGTACTGGTAATTTTGGAGCAGTGAAATTATAGTAAATTGTTACTCTTTTGGTGATTGACGGGTTTGAATACATGTACATGGGGCCATGTGCCATTGAGCATGTGCAGTCGAATAATGTTTTACATGTAAGGTGTACATGTACATGTACATGTATTTTGACAAATTGGTATCAATATGACCCCAAGTTACCTCCTATACAATCAATACACATCATGTACAGTGTACATGTTCTTTATAATTCATAGGACTCTGAGGGTAATACTCCATTACATTGTGCAGTATTGGCACAGAAACTGGAAGCCATTGTGCTCCTGCTGGATGCCGGGGGAGATCCCTCTCTCGTTAATTTCAGACTCTTCACTCCGCTACACGAGGCCGCTCGAATTGGGTTTCTACCGTAAGCTAAACCACACCCACCAATTAGTAAATAACTCCGCCTTACAGGGGCGTGGACTTGTTTATTAAGAGAAACCCAGAGTGTGTTAATTTGAAGAAAGATGATGGACTGACTCCTCTTCATTTGGCTTGTCTTAATAATCATTTAGACGTTGCCACAACAATCGCCGAATGTGTAAGTATATTCATAGTGTGGGTGTGGTTGTGTACTAATTAATATTCATGAAGTGGGTGTGGTTTTGTTTTAATTAATATTTATTAGGAGGCGTGTGATATTGATAGCGTGGCGAATGATGAATCCACTCCTCTCCATTATGCTGTTCATCAAGGTCATGTCAGGGTAGTTGAGAGATTGATTGGATTCGGTGCTAAACTTAACGTTCAGGTAAGCCACGCCTCTTTAATTATGGTATCCATGGTAACACATTAAGGATCACGATGGAGACACGCCCCTCCACATGGCGATGGTTAGACAGACCGATGGTGCCCTGGGCAGTGACACACCTCAACTTAAAAAGGTAAAGAATTGTAGCCATTTTTAAATTTTGAGCTCTGTCCCTTTTGCTCTTTCCCCCCCTCTCTCTCTCTCGCTCTCTCTCTCTCTCTCTCCCTCACACTTTTCCCTTACAGTTAAATGATAGTATAGAGGTCTCAGAGGAAGCTACTGATCGCGTCTCCATACTTCAGGCTTGTTTCCTCATACAGCAAGGGGCTGATCCATACATCTTGAACCATAAGGGGAACGCACCTTTAAGCATATGCTCGCCTGAGAAAGCAGTTAGTATCACACAGTTTATTGATGACAAAGATAAGTATCCTAGGTAGGCAGAGCCTGAATATTTAATGACATTTTCTCATGCACACATGTACGTGTATACATATTCTTTATCAAATTTGAATTTGCTCCAAAATCAGGGCCAAAGTCCCTGTACTATAGTACACGGTCTCGGGCCAAATTTTGCCAAAAATGACTAGGAGAGAATTCCTCATTTTAATGACTTTATCTGATACATATACATGTTCTTATGTTGTGTAGAAAGTTTGAACTGATTCCGATCAAATTTGGATTTTTTACGAATTTTTAAAATTGCTCCAAAATTGAGGCAAAGTCCCTGTACTATAGTACATGGTCTCGGGCCAAATTTTGCCAAAAATGACTAGGAGAGAATTTCTTATTTTTATAACTTTATCTGATGCATATACATGTTCTTATGTTGCGTAGAAAGTTTGAACTGATTCCGATCAAAATGGATTTTTTACGAATTTTTAAAGTTGCTCCAAAATTGAGGCAAAGTCCCTGTACTATAGTACAGGGTCTCGGGCCAGATTTTGCCAAAAATGACTAGGAGAGAATTTCTCATTTTTATAACTTTATTTGATACATATACATGTACTTATGTTGTGTAGAAAGTTTGAACTGATTCCAATCAAAATTGAATTTTTTACAAATTTTTAAATTACTCAAAAACACCAGCACATGTACAGTATAGAGTGTATGTATACATCTACTACAGATTTCATTAATGTTTGTATTTCTTTAGTACATTTCACGGTTCACTAAAACGAGTTCAACCCACCACTCACCCACTGGCAATACTACCAGCTCCTCAAACAGTAAGAATCCAATACCTTACCACATACACTGTACATGTACATGTACACATGTATTTCAATCTCTCCTTTTAGCCATCGAATGGTCACAGTGCCACAGCTAATGATACTAGCCCTGCTCCGGTTAAAGCTACTCCTCCTGTCCTCCCCCCTGTTCCCTCCTCTTCATTCATCGAGTGCATTATCTGTGAGAAAGAGGTTACTCTGAGATTGTTACCTTGTCGTCATGAGGTTCTGTGCACCGAATGTACACAGAGAGCAAAGAAGTGCCCGGAATGTAAAGTAGGTGTCGTATAGAACTTTTACTTTTGACAGGCAAAATTTTTGCGGTTTTTGGTGGATATGCATGCAATCATGAAATAAAAGCTCAGCAAAATTTTCGATTGCCATTAAGGGTACGGTACTAGCAATGTAATTTGTGAAAGTTTTGCTCCACATACATCAAGTATTGTGCTGTAATTTTTATAATTGTAATGCTTTTTAAAATATTTATTTTAAGAGTGCTTCTCTCTCTCTCTCTCTCTCTCTCTCTCTCAGGTTAAGTTAGAAGGTATAGAAGAAATAAGTCCAAAATGTCTGATGTGCGAGGAAGAAGTGGCCACTGTCACTCTTGAGCCTTGTCAGCATAAATTTTGTCCTGGTAATAAATTGAATATTGTTGTTGTTTTTTGTTGTCATTATTTGTTTGTTTGTTTACTTTAGATTGCTGCAAGAGGATGAAACGGTGTAGCGAGTGTAGAAAAACAATTGAAAAGAAAATCGGTCTAAGTGAGTCATTAATGTTCATTGACCACGCCCATCAATTAATTATCTCTATAGCTGATACCAGTACTACAGACACAGCAGTCATATCTCCTGTGGGGGCGGGTCCTCCTGGAAGCTCCGCCCCCATTTCTGCCACGTCCCCTAGCATTTGTGAGATTTGTTGTGAAAACCCTCGTAACACTGTTCTTACCTGCGGCCATCAGTTTTGTTCCAATTGCTCTCAAAAGGTCGACCAGTGTCCAATTTGTCGAAAGGTCATCATGCATAGGATTCAACTCTTTCAGTAGTGGGCGTGGTTTGCATGTACACGTACGTAATTGCTACACATTCACGACTTTCGGAAAGACGTCTCAGATTTGTATTTTACGAAATTACAGACAAAAACTGACTTTATATTATTAATAATAATAATAATAATGAGAATGAATTAGTACACATTTTGGTGTATGACTATTTGCATGTTTGTAATTAATAGTTGATGTTAAATCCTTCTCTCTCGCTGTTGTGTTTTTGTGTTAATTATTTTCTGATAATCGTCTTGTTATTTCTAACATCTTTTCAACTATTTCCATGCTATCAGAATGAGTATCAGTCTCTGCAGAACAAGTATCAATCTCTGCAGAATGAGTATCAGTCTCTGCAGAATGGGAATAGACCTTGCAATAAAGCTGTATGTCGCTGATATGAAATTGCTCCCAATTTGACGACGGTTGTCTCAAGATGAGCCTTAACCTTTCAACGTCGCTCAAATTAATTTCGATATTAAACCAATCTTGTCCACCCGTTTCGCTGTGTGGGCCACTTTTCATTAATACGTAGTTTTTCAAGCAATAACACCAGCTCTCCGGTTGTGAAAGAGCCTTTTCCTGCGGTAGGTACTTAACTGACAGAGTGTGGGAGTAGTAGTTTCTGAATGATATGTATGTAACGGTTCTTGAGTATGGGTTCAGTTCAGTCACGTGACAGTTGCTCCGGATCACGTGACCACTCTTAGGGCCGGGCAGGGTCAAGGGTACAGGGTCTCTGAGTGTAAATTTGACACTTTTCACTTGTGGGGAAGGAGGAGGAGCAGCCATTTTGCAAAATTTTTGTTTGTTCTAGATCAGACTAGGAGTAGGAATGTATGCTACATAAAATTATTACTAGCATGATATTTTACCGAGTTTATTTCTTGTAAAATAAGCGAGTCTCAACTCTAAGGAGATTCAAATACCCTTGTGTGTAGGAGCCATTTAATTGTAGCAGGTCGAGCTCTGCAGGAAGCAGCCCCACCCATTTGCTGCAAGCTGTAGGGCGTGGCTGTACTACAAATACAAAGTATTGCAGTCATGTCTGTTGGATCAAAGAGGTACAATTAAAATGCAATTAGTATTAACATACCTTCCTCTCTTTTATCTCTATCCTAGAACACCTGTGCTCGCGGAAGAAGTAATCAACCAGCTACTCTTACCTTTATCTTTGCATTATTTAAAATTCTTTTTCTCCTAACTATCTCTCTCTTTCTCTCTCTCTCCTTTTCCTCTCAGGCAATTAAAAAATTAGTGCATGACTTGAGCACGTCAGAGACGATAGAGTCTTTAAAAGAAAACTGTCAGGAGCTCACGGCACGCGTGCAAACTGAAGTATTGTTAAGCAAAGAGAAACTGAACAGGCAAATAAAGTCACTGAGATTAGAGAGAGAAAAGGCACTTCATCAAGTAAGAAATTGAATTTTTATTAAATGAAGGGAAGTAAACAAAGATAAGTTAATTTATCATGTGGGTGTGTGCTCATTAACTAAGGGAGGGAATTCCTATTAATGTAAGCAAGAGAGGTATCCTACAATAATGTTTGTGGTAATGTTGTGGGTGCATTTTACTAACAGCCAAATCACTACTAATGAAAAGTGTGATAAATAAACTTATGTAATATAATATAATTATATTTCATGTTAAAATGTGAACTGTAGTAGTTTTGTATATTATTGTGTGATTTGATGCGTTTAACAGCCAAATGGCTCAACTCCAACTTATACAGATACCATAATATCATGTTAATTTCCTTGGTTTCTTTAAATCATATGTATTTTCCCTGTACTATAGTTAAGCATTTCTAAAGAAAGAGTGAAGTCACTGGAGACAGAGCTAGAGCACTTACAAACTGAATACAAACTTGTTGATAGGCAGAGAGTGAAAGCATTGCAAGTACGTATCTGTTGCATAAACATCTCATCTATATGTACATACACATTCACATCCATACACAATATGTATCTAAACTTCCATGCATAAACACATAGATGTATTTAGATAACTGTATACGTGTACATAAGCTTAGCAGTTGTAGCATCCTAGTATGGAGGTGTGTGACATTACGAAAATGTCCTCGTTATAATAAAGATGTCCTTATATCAGAGTGTCCTTATTATAGAGGCTACACTGTATATGGACAAAATACTCTCATTATAAAGATAGTCTGTCCTATGCACATACATCATTGTTATGATCATAGAGTATGTTTTTAAATTATATGCATAAAATCAAAATCAACATTATAGATTACAGAGCGTGTTTTAGTTTATATGTTTACAATGAATCTACGCTTTCCCACTCTTTTCCTCCATCTCTCATCTCTGTAGTCACAGCTTCAAGCAGCCAATAATGAGAATGAGTTTTGGCATAAAAGAGCTCAAGAATTAGAGGATTACTGTGAGACTATGCAACTAGTGAACAGGTAGAAGCATTGAATCAAATTTTGCCTTTAATAAAAGCTAATTGTGGCTTTTGGAGTAGTTTTAAAAGTTTGTAAAAAATCCATTCTGGATTGAAACCAGCTCAAACTAGATATGCAAGATTAGAACATGTATATGTATCAGAAAAAAATTATTAAAATGAAGAATTCTCTTCTAGTCATCTTTGACGAAATATTTTGGAGCAACTTTTAGAAATTTATAAAAAATCCACTTTTGATCAGAATCAGTTCAAAATTTCTACACAACTTAAGTACATGTGTATATGTATCAGATAACATTGTAAAAAGGGAGAGTTCTCTCCTAGCACATCTCATGTGCTGGCAAGGATCTGAGCAGTATACCAAAATCTTGCTGGGCCCAATGTATCATTGTTTTGTTCCATTATAGTCTTCACAAGTCATTATCAAAAGACGAAGAAATAAAAAGCGAGTACGAAGAAAGAATAATGAAGCTAAAAGGTCACATTAGGAACCAGGAAGACGAAATAGCACAACTCTCGACGCACCTGGAAAAGGTATGACTGCTATTACAATTATTATCATCATTACAGTCTCTTCAGGTTATGTTAGAATACGACAGAGTGAGCGATGAAAGAAATGCGCTAGCAAAGCAGCTGCACGAAGAGAGAGAGCGATACATTGAGTAAGATGCATGGAATTTAATGGTGCACGACGATCTTTCCTTTATTGTCATATTTTAGGCTCCAACTGGAGAAGAATAAAGTTGCATAAAAGTGGGAGAGAGAGAGAGAGATCCATATATTACATTACATGTATAAGTGAATACATGAGTTGTGTTTTCCTCTAAATAAAAATCATAAGTGGGCTGGCTTTCCACAAACAAAGTGTATTACAAAGAGAAAGGGTGGAGAAGAAGCCACAGGAAGCTGCTTACTACAAGATAAATAGTGACACTGCTACTGTTATGTGCTATATACACTCACTTCTCAATCATGGATAAAGTTAAAGACGAATCTCCGCCAGTAGAGAGGAGGCAGATCAGCTTCTTGACTGAGGACGGCGAGAAGATCGACGCTGCCAAGAAGGAAGAAGAATCTGTGGGCGACCTCAACACCATCGACTGGGACAAGAACCCTCCCGTGGCCGAGATAAAAGTTGGGAGCAAGTACTACAAAAAGGAAAGGAAAGTCTCCGAAAGGGTGCAGAAATGTCATCAGATCCTCTCGCTTGTAATAGTCTCGGCTATTATTATCTTTTTCTGGGTAGCCATGTTACTGCCTCAGCTCTGCTTCTTTCGAGTAGGGATATGCACTACCAGTAGCTCCACGAGTAGTGGAAGCACTAATGTGAGTTAATGGTGCATGAAATGGCTATAGACACTACAACACTACAGAGAAATAAATGCTGTCAATACTATAGTATTATGATTATATGTGTGTGTGTCAGCTTAGCAGGACAGTTCTGCAGTCAGCCATATGATTATTGTATAATAATTACACTGTTCTAGTGAAATGCTTTATTGCAGTGTTACTTTGTAGCATGAAATGGCTTTTAGTAAGCTCCTAAATATTCTATGCATGCACTTAACTGCCTGCTTTCGCATTGATTGCTTCATCATTTATGCAGAAAATAGCAATTAGCAGCATTAGTCAATCAACTATACATTACTGATATTTGATGCTCTAAACTTGCTACAATTTCCTGCATAAGTTCATTAGTTCCATGTCTGTCTCTATGTATACATGTACATCATCAACTTTTGACGTTTTGTCCCTCACAAAGTATAAAGGAACAAACATATTTGGTTTGCAGTGTAGGAGTATAATAGTGTAGGAGTATATAACTATCAATACCATTAGAAGCACATAAATAAGATTACTTTATAGGACTCACAAATCCGTTTTAATGCATTCCTGTATTTACAAAGACATGCAAGTCGCATGCCTACCATTGAGAGAGGAGAGATTATGAAATGATTAGCTATAATTGGGTAATTAAAAGGCCATCACTTTGTGCTTCTTTCTAGCATTACCCTTCAAAGTCTCACTGCTATATTTGTTGGTAGCACAGTCATTATAAGCCTGTCATGTTGGATAATGAAATTGTTATTGACTTGTGTCCTTTTATGTTTTCTTTTTCATTATTTAGGATCCAATTGATGGCAACTTGGTAAGTCAGAGATATAGGTGGTAATATGTAATGCATGTGAATGTTATATTCATATTTTTCAAACATTGTGTCCTGTGTTCATAATGTTGTTCATGCTTACTCAAAACAAGCATATCAGGTTAAAAAAACAAAGTCAGTTTACCATGTGATTTTTAATACAACAATGTGTGCACTGTTTTCTGTTAGCATGCATTCAAGCTTTGTTTAAGATTTTATGATATCAGGAATGATAGTTTATGATAGACTCTGGTACTATATATACACACGTGTGTGTACTTATGGTCATATTCATCCACATTATATAGTACAGTATTCTTGACACATGTATACACACATTATGAGTCTTATGTGCAATACATTTACCATTTGTTTGTGTATATGCTTAATGTATTATGTAAACTTGTTGTTGATATCATTTTTATGCCTCATTTCCTTCAACTCTTTCTTTTACACCCACTCCTTTCCTCCTTCTTCATTCTATCTTTCACTTCCTTCTCCCCCTCTTCTCTCTTCCCTCCTCTCTCCCTCTCTCTCTCTCTCTCCCCCTCTCTCTCTCCCACTCTCTCTCCCTCTCTCTCCCTCTCTCTCCCTCTCTCTCCCCCTCTTCATTCCAGACATGCACTAATGCTACACGCTACACTGGTATCTGTCAGGGTCTCTTCTCCACTTGCTCCAACTCTCCATTAATAAACTCAAACAATTCTCTAGACTCAAATCTTCTCCTGGTATTCGCTCTTATTTCTGATCCTAATTCAGTAGCTGACTCCTGCTATGAAGCAAGAAGAGATATTGAAACGTTCCTCTGTCGTTTTTCTTACCAGCCGTGCTCTGAAGTAGATAATAAGGTAGTCCTTCCAAACAGAAGCTACTGTGAGTTGGTTAGGGACCAGCTATGCAGAGAGGAATGGGATATTCTTACACAGCTACCGTATGGAGAATTTCTACCGGACTGCTCTTTATTGCCTAATGCTACAGTAAAGCCAAACTGTGATGGACTAACTGGTAAGTGTTTGGACTGACTGTGTTGCTTACGGAGCACATTTAAGTATGCAATAGAGTATACTTATAATGTATTGTATTATTAAACTTCCCAGTCTATATATATAGAACTAAAACAACAGGTACAACAGCAGCTAGATATAAAGATAACCATGAAAAATTTAACATAATTAGACTCAAGTCATATCTTTGCTTTGTTATGGATTGTTTTTATTACATTCTAATAATTTGTCAGGTTTTAAAATTAGATCATGTAAACTCTAATCACACGAGTATTACTTCCATTCACCTCACTCACAGCTATAGTGAACTTTAATTGTTATTTAACTAGTGCTTCCGGTCACCAATTACTTGTACCAAAACATTAGTATACTTTTGCTCTACTTTGTTACACTGTACAAAGCTATCAATACTCCTTCCTATGACTGATTAATTGGTGTCAAATTTTTTCCTGTTGGAGTTCACGTACATAATCATATTAATACTGCTATTAAAAAGTATTCTATATTCCATATCCTTCACTTAACTGTATTAAGTTACCAGTAACATGTACCTGTAATAGCTGTTATACTGTCACAGTAGCCTGTGTGGTGTGGGATTGTCATCCTTTACCCTGACCTCCAATTTGTATACTCAGTTCAAAGTCTGTCATTCAATAACTCTACCTTCTCTCTCTTTATAGTAACAGCTACACCCACTTCTACAACGAGTCTGGTAAATCCCACTCCGTCTTCTCCCCCTATACCACCGTCCTGCAGCATGGTGTACAATGGCGCCATATGTTCATCGTATCTGAATGTATGCTCAAACAGAATCATTAACAAGTTTGACTCAAGCGCCGAGTCTTCACTAGTAACGCTTAACAATACGTTTTCTACAGTTGTCGGTCCTGGTTGTCGTGCTGCTCAAGATTCTGTTTTTCAGCTATTGTGTCTTAATTCTTTTCAACCTTGTGATGACAGCGGGTCGGTATTTTTACCTAATCGCTCTCACTGCGAGAATATTCGCGACAATGTATGCAGCAGTGAATGGACTTTCTTACAAGTTACAGGTCAAGGGAGTATTCTACCAGACTGCTCTTCATTGCCTGAAAATAGCACTCAGCCATCTTGTGGTAAGTAAAAAATAGAAGAGAGAGAGACAGACAGAGAGAGGGAGAGATGGTACACAAATTATTATCCAAATTTGCAATTGTTGCTTTAAAACATCCTATCACAAAAGCATACCCGCTATCTTGTACTATAGTAAACAGCACTATCTACTATATTGTGGTGAGAAGTATTGCAATTATTAATTTGTACTAATTCCCTGTTATGGACCAGTTGTGGTTTAGTTTACGCAACACTACTCTGACGCTTGTGTGAGCTCAGTGACTATGAAATTCAAATAGTGTTAAGTGTGTGTGTGATGTAATGTCCATCATAGCAGGGGAATGCTCTCCGTCTAATCCTCTCAATGTTTGTTTATGCTGTTAGCATTATAACATGGCAGGGTACAACTTGTTAATTTTTTCTTGTGTGGGCATGTAAATGTACACAAGATGTCTATCGAGTCAAAAATCTACTTTAATGACTTTATTTGTTTGTATTTGTTGTTACTTTGTCTGATCTTTTTTTGGTTAGGAGCATCAATGTCTTCTGTTTTTGGCTCAACTGCCATGTTTTCTCTCGTCACTCCAACTTTGACGTCCTCAGCTTCCATTTCACCATCTCCTACAACAACTTCCTCTTTCTTTTTGTCTTTCTCTCCCTCTCCCTCCCCCTCCTCCTCTTCTTCTCTCCCTCCAAATGAATTCATCTCGAACTTATCTTTTGTTTGCAACGAGGCTGAAGGCTTCTATCTCTACACGACCGAGAATCCCGACCAGATGAGTATTAACAACACATGTCAGGCAAGGTGCAGCGAGTGGATCATATTTCCTAGTAGATCTGCTACCGAATTGAGAGACTTCTCACTCCTATCTGTTTCAATGCTTGGGCTACTGGCCAGTTTTGCTGTTATATTCTTTTCACTGATACGCTACAAAAGAATGTAAGATGAGTTCTGTATTAATGCTTGCTTATAATCATCCTACACTTTACTGATATTCCATATCTGTCTACTTGTGGTAAAGTTACAGCTACTATTACCATCCATACGCTGTGGCTATTTCATTTGATGTTGCTATCCAATACTTTACTTATTCATTTCTTTGATAAGTTCCAGTCATTCTTGCTATTCCTTTTAAATGACGTAGAAGTCGCTATTATTAATATTATCTAAATTTTAAATTGTAATGAACCCTGCAGGAGCTATTAATTATTACTTTTATTACTTTTACTTTTTAAATTGATGGTATATACTTTTTCTTTTGGCAGGTTTCTGTTCCCAAGCATGTACATAGTCTACCAGACAATCATACTGATGGTTTTAGGTAAAGAAGAGAGAGAGAGGGGAGAGAGAGAGAGGGAGGGGAGAGAGGGACAGAGATAGTAACAGAAAGAGAGGAAGAGGGAAAAGAAATGGAGCCTTAAATATGTTCTTTATAATCATACAGGTGTGACTGTGTTCATCCTCTATACTGACAGATATGGACTAAATTGTGCATCAGATGATCTTGTCATTACTACTCTTAACAATCCAACACCATTCTGCTCATTTACAGGTACAACTATTACCTGGCTTTCCTGTAATTTTATATTAATTTTAATTTTATATTAATTTTATCTGTGCAGGCTTTGTATTCGTTTATTCTATATTGTCTCTCACTTTTTGGTGGTTTTGCCACGTCAGTAGCACATTCTGGAAAGTCATGTTTCCGTTCCACGCCCACAAACATGAAAAGAACACAAAATTCATACACATGATCTCGCTAATCGTGGGTATTCTCCTACCAGCTGTTGTGCCACTGATTGCACAGTTTGTTGATGGCTTCAGAGTGTTACGGATACCTCCAATTCTATGCTCACCATTTAATGCCAATGTTCTTTATTATGGTGTTATACTACCTGTGTCTATAGCTGTCTGCCTTGGACTTACTTTCTTGGTCATCATACTGTATGCTTTGCACCAGGTTAGTAACCAAAGACATGTTGACAAAACTTTTAAAATTCTCCTCTTATCTCTCTTTTTTTCTCCTCTTTTTTAGAAAAAGCGACTATTCAAGCATCGTGGGACTGTCTCGTATTTCCTCGGACTTTCGACAGCAGAAAAGAAACTCCTTCTTATATTCTTTTATTACCTAACCATTGGTATCTTTGATGTAGCAGCCTACACAATTTCTCAAGCTACATTAACTTCCGTTCCTGAAGCAGTAGAAATAAATTTTTTATGCGAGGCCAGACCGTACGACCCCACTTTTGAGTGCCCCAAAACACACACCGAAACCACCGCTTCAGATACTTTAGTTGTTCTAAGTTACATTTTTTTGGGTCTCTTTCCGTTCACTAATTTGCTATTTGCTGTTAATGTTGCTGAAGTGAAGAGTTTCTTCAATAGCTGCTTAGGTAGACAAAATGGCAACAGGTTGAGGTCTCGTACAGCGTCTACATCAGTTCTCAATGCTCCGGATACTCCTTTCACTTTGAGAAGGAAGATCAGTTATGCCATTAGTGAGACTAGTGTGGGTAAAGGAGCTAAGAATGGAACCAGTCTAGGTGACGTGGGAACTGTAGGGAGAAAGGGAATTTATACACAGCGTACAACTACATTGTAATGTTTTTTTATGTTTATTTTAATGCTTTTTTTTTATTTCACAGAGACTGCCTTTTATCTATTTTACAATAACTATTATTTTAAAATCAATAAAAACTTTATGAAAAAGCAACTTTGCTAGCTTAGATTATTGTGCGTGGGCGACAACACTAAATGGGCGTGGCCATTTATAAAAATGGAATGGAGTAATGGCGGTTTAAACAAAGACGGGGTCTCACTTTCAGCTGGTAAAAAGAGACCGAGAGAGTCCCATACAGTTGAGCAAAGTGGAGTGGATGATAAGAAAGGTTGCGGGGAGCCTTTCTCTTGGTGGACGAGCCTAATGCTAGGAATCAGTGAGGGGCAATCCCGTGTAGTAAACCGACGAGCAAACACCTAAAACATTATCATTAATTGCATCAAATTTATATTTAATAATATCATTATTATATACTTCCTTCCTCCCTATCTCTGATAATACAAATTAGTTGTACGGTATATTTTTTGCTATTTTTATTTGGGCTTTTATTTTTGTAATTTTTAAGTTTTAGTTTCTTATTTATTTTGTTCGGTATTTTGTCTGTATAATTATGGCCACAGCTGCTTACGATGATGGAGGGAATGATGAGTGGTTGCCTGAGAAACCACAGAAACCATTACCATCAGACTGCTGTGGAACAGGTTCAAGAATTGATTTAAATTATATATTCTTAATCTTTGATATAATTTATTATAGGTTGTTCTCCATGTGTGAATGATATATATGAGAGAGAAATGGAGAAGTGGTTTGAGCTACAAAGAATGAGTATAGAAGAGAGGCAGAGGATATGGAGAGGAAAGCAAGAAGCTCAAAGTGAGACGGAGAAAGCTTTGTCACCAGAAAAATACAACAAGTAATAGTGTTACTATTATGTATACTCTTGCTATTATCCATGCACATTTTTGTACTGGGCATATGCAGGTGAAGTTTTTGGGAAACTTTAATAGTTTGTAAAAAATTTAATTTTGATCGGAATGAGCTCAAACTTTAAACACAATATAAGAACATGTATATGCATCAGATAACATCATAAAAATGGAGAATTCTCTCCTTTTCAATTTTGGTGAAATTTGGCCCGAGACCATGTGCTATAGTACAGGGACTTTGACCCAATTTTTGAGTAACTTTAAAAATTCGTAAAAAATCCAATCTTGATTAGAATTAGCTCAAACTTGCTACACAACATAAAAACATGTATATGTATCAGGGAATGTTATAAAAATCGAGAATTCTCTACTTTTTATTTTTGGCAAAATTTGGCCCGAGACCATGTACTATAGTACAGGGACTTTTGCCTGATTTTTGAAGTAACTTTAAAAATTCGTAAAAAATCCAATCTTGATTGGAATTAGCTCAAACTTGCTACACAACATAAAAACATGTATATGTATCAGGGAATGTTATAAAAATCGAGAATTCTCTACTTTTCATTTTTGGCAAAATTTGGCCCGAGACCATGTACTATAGTACAGGGACTTTTGCCCGATTTTTGAGCAACTTCAAAAATTCGTAAAAAATCCAATCTTGATTAGAATTAGCTCAAACTTGCTACACAACATAAAAACATGTATATGTATCAGGGAATGTTATAAAAATTGAGAATTATCTACTTTTCATTTTTGGTAAATTTTGGCCCAAGACCATGTACTATAGTACAGGGACTTTTGCCCGATTTTTGATCAACTTAAAAAATTTATAAACATTTTTTCAGCTCACGCTTTCTACACAACATAACTTGTTTGTAGGTTTGAGTTGATTTCTTTCATTCAAGTTTCCAGAGACTCATTCCTATGCTCTTTCAAACTACCCCAGAACCAAACACTGGGAATCAAAGTTGGACAGCACGCAACAATGAGGTAATTACCCACTCTCTCCTCCTTTATCCCATATCATTGCCTTTGCAGATTAAAAGATCATGAAGGAAAGTATATAGCAAGACAGTACACTCCCATTAGTCCTCTAAATCAGAAAGATCATTTTGAAGTACTTATTAAAGTAAACAGGAACATCACTAACAAACTAACTACATTTGTACTATTCAATAGCTATATAGTGACGGTCTACTATCAACCATTATTGGGGCCACATTTAAACCCGGTTGCTTGGTAGAATGGAAAGGACCTTTCGGCGAGTTTCAATACTCGCCAAACCGGTTTAAAGAACTGGTTATGCTTGCTTGTGGTACAGGTATAGCCCCAATGATTCAAGTGATAAGAGCTGTTTTGGAAAATGAAGACGATTTTACGAAATTGAGATTGCTTTATGCTTCTAAGACTCAGCACGATATTCTACTCAAGAACCTAATCAATGAGTTCTCTGATTATTGGAACTTTAGCGTCATGTATTTTTTTAGCAGCTGCAACGAGGAGAAACTCTCTCTTGATAAAGGACAAGTTTGTTATGGCGATTGTGTCAAATTTGGACGGATTGACCAGTCAATTTTAGAATCCGAATTGGGAAATAGTGAGAGCATCCAGTTTTTAATATGTGGGACAAAATCTTTTGATAAAGACATGATTAAATATTTGTTAAAACTCAATTTTAATTATGAACAGATATTTAAATTTTAGTTATTGTGTTAAAATTTTGTAATGAGCCACGCCCACGTGCTGCATTCCAGCCACGCCTATTACTGCTGTATCTGCAAAAGAAGACAAGTACAAGCTATTGTGACATCTTGGAGGACAATTATGAAGGTACATAAAAGATTATAGAAGAACAACTGACCGATAAATATATCTTTTAGGCACTCGTCTTTCTTTTATTGATCCTCCTGTCGGCCGCTACCTGCTACAGCACACCCTTAGAAGCAGTTTTATCCGATAACGGGCAATCGTTGCAAGATGAAAGTGAAAACGATGTTGATACGGACCACAGTGATTTTATTGCCGCAGAAGGCATTTTACCTACGTCTCCTTTTAACGGAATCTACAACAACACAAAGAACAGGTTCTTTCGCGTTCTCTACAACCTCTCGTCCTACTTGCCATTCAGTGTAGAGTATGCAGTGACTGTTGGTCGAAATTGTAACATCATTGAGTACAATCACGAGTACTATGGGGTCCCTGGCCTCGTTATCTCGGCCCTACTCTTCATAATCGGTGCACTGTTCTGTTTCGTAGGTGAGGAGGGAAATATTATATTCTATTTTGTATTATAATTTTCAACAAGTGCATAGATCTATACTCTTGTCAATAGCTATTGCCAAGTTGTAGTATAGTAGCATTTAATAAGAAGCCAATGGGGAAGGGAGGGAATGAGTCCTTGTTTAAATTACTGTAGCCAATTTAACTTATTCTTTACTATCGTTATCTCTCACTTTAGGCTACCGGCTATTAAAGATCAATCTGTTCCTCATCGGTTTTCTCATTGGTGGACTAATGGCCTACTTCCTCCTCCTTGCTTTCATTGGGGACTTCACAAAAACATGGAGGATATACGTTGTTTGCATAGTCTCGGGCATAATAGGAATCATATCTGGCCTGCTGACAATCGGTATATACTATATCGGGCTCTTTCTGGCCGGGGGAGCGGTGGGTTTTCTCGGTACCTGGTTTCTACTATCAGTCATTGATATTGGCTACTTTCAAACACACGTGTACATTCCTTTTATTATAGCGATAGGAGTGGGCGTGGTGTGTGGCATTATAACGCTTATATTTCAAAAGTGGCTTGTGATTCTCGGCACTTCTGTTATTGGCGCTTTCCTCATCATTTGGAGTTTCGACTATTATCTTGAACTTGGTCAAATGATTTATTTCTTGTTTTTATTTGCCGTCCACCGGAACATGCTAAAGCCGTGCTGGTTCTCTTGGATTATAGTCGTCTTGTTTGCGATCCTCTTAGTTACGGGACTCATAGTGCAAGCTTGTGTCACAGGAAGGAAATACGATCACAAAAAGGATTTTGAAAATGGTGAGTGAGAGGAACTACTCATCCAATGTATGCTATTGGCTTCCATTACTATTGCTTGCTGAATAATGTTTTTGTTTTTGTTTTTATTTTAGGAATATGTTGTGGATTGTGTAAGAAGTGTCGCAGGGAACGACGTAGTGGTAACTACATGGTGAGTTTCCTCCTTGCTTCCTAATCTTTAGCTACCTTGTCTTCCTTCTTTCTTCCTTTACTTGATACTCTTCTCTTTTCCACAGCCATTGAAAGAGATGAAGTGATCAATGAACGCCTCAAGATTTACTCAATTACGTGTTGTACTATAAAACATCTCACAGCTTTTTAGTTCACATGAATAATAATAATAATAATAATAATCTCCATCATACATAGATTGCTTAGCTGATTTAATTTTTATTGTAAAGAAAAAAAAATTAATTTCATTAATAAAAGTAAAACTGACAGCACAAACAAAGCGTAGAAGTACAGTAATAACAATAATAATGATATGTTATTTCTTATAAACAGAATAAAGATTATAATTAATGTCCATATACAACACATACTAAATGAATTTGAAAGGCAGAGAGGGAGAGAGAGGAGGAGGTGCACACAAAACATTTCAAGTCACAAAATAATAGCAACATGCTGAAGTGTGTGCGAAATTGTCAAAATCTCTTTAAAATCAAATCACATCACGTCAATAAAATATTCGCAAGGATTATCGAGAGCTTGTTGAAAACTAGCCCGACTGGCGGAAACCCCCGGGGGGACCTGGCCCCCAATATTCAACGAACGTAGACTCATGCGATCGGGAGGAAGAGAGGCCCCACCCATAGCACCCCCGTTGCCAGGGTGATGGTATTGTTGCTGTGAGACGCTAGTGAACTCTGAGGCTGAACTAATACTGTTGGAGTGACGCATACGCATCTGGGGCGGTAGTTCCATGTGGGAGTGGCTTGGGCGAGGGGAGGGATATTGACGAGGGTCTGAGGGGGAGCCGGAGTGCTGACGAGGTGGATAATGAGCGTAACCAGACCCAGCGGCACTGGAGCTACTGGCAGAAGAACCAGTGTGGTGCTGCATCTGACCCTCTGAAAAAATAAAAAACAATAACAATAATAATAATAATAATAATAATAATAATAATAATAAAATTGTGAACTTATAACTTCTGGTTTGTTTTTGCAAGCTGTTTATGTTTATAATAATAACCATTACATGTACACGGTAAATTAAGCTTTTGTACTACCCTCTTAATAAATAAATAAATAAATATAATAATAAAATTAATAATAATAATTACCAGGTGAGTTGGAATGGGAGTGCATTAAATGAGGGTAGAAAGATCCTTCAATGGTCGGGAGGGATATCTGATCGTCTGATGAAGACCAACCCTGCCCATTGTTCCTATCCGATGGCAGTGGCCCAAGGGTGTCTGTCTCACCACCTGAATTATCACTTAAATGTAATTGAGTTAATTCTACGATAAAAGATAGAGACAGATAAGTGATAGTAAATATTATGTTTCATCTTTCACACTCAATTTCATCACTCCTTTTTTCCTCTCTCTCCTCCCTCTCTCTCTCTCCTACCAGTTGATAAGTTGTTAGCAGCTGCCTTTTTAAAGTCACCAAATATATAATAGCACTGCTCTGAGAACGTGTACTTATTCACTGCATGCTTAACAAAACCTTGCTGGATTTATAAAGGAAAGAAAAAGAGGCAAAAATTGACATTTTAATTCAATTTGTCATATCAATACCTTAAGCATGATTGCTGCATATTTCCTTGCGTGTCTTCTATCAATAAAGCCTTCAACGTTGTTGTGCAACCACTCAACCATATCAGATCCTGTAAAACACACAATATACTGAAATATACTATAATATACTATAATATACTAAGATATACTGAAATATACCAAAATATACTAAAAGTATACTGAGTTATACTGACCTATGAACGATTTGGGTATAGGCATCTTGAGCCACATCCTGTCCTTCACTTCCAGACCAGAATCAGGTGCAGCCATTGCCTTGGCGACACGATAGAGAGGGGAGGTGAGGTTGAGCTTCACAAGGTCTCTCTCAGACTCGGGAATGGACGAGGCAAGAGAAGGAGAGGAATTTGAGGTCATTGTACTCATAGTAGGGCTACTGGTGAACGGACGACCGTAGTCACCTGCTATAAAGGGAAACATGATCAATAATGTATTTATGTATAGCAGAAAACATGGCTTTTTGGTAACTTCAAAAATTCGTAAAAAATCCAATTTTGATTGGAATCAGTTTGAACTTTCTACGCAACATAAGAACATGTATATGTATCAGATACAGTTATAAAAATGAAGAATTCTCTCCTTTTCAATTTTGGCAAAATTTGGCCTGAGAACATGCACTATAGTACAGGGACTTTGGCCCAATTTTGGAGCAACTATGTTTCACCACAAAAATAAACTGGTAATACAGTATTATTATTATTATCATTATTATTATCATTATTATTATTATTATTATTATATTTACCTCTCTGTGCATTGGTATGCATCACCCAAGCTGAAGGATCCAATGGTCTTATAGGCTCCACTAAAAAATAAATAAAAATAAATTAAATAATTTCAGGATGTGTAGCCTAGCGCTTATTCATTAGCCAGTGGGCAGCTGCAGTGTGTGTAGCGTCTTGCTATACAATTATTCAAACTGTTTGGTCTTTGATATATCATTAAACTTTAGTCTGAATACATATATGTACATACACAATATATGTGTGTGTGTGTGTGTGTGTGTGTGTGTGTGTGGTGATGTACATGTACATGTACATGTATATATGATGTACATGTATATGTAAATGTACACACATGTATTGTACATGTATATAATACAATGTACATGTACATGTGCTTACGTCTAGGCTCAAACATAGGAGCATATGCTTCTGGCTCGAGACACTTGGCAACTGTCAGTATAATTGGACTATAGAGAGAGAAAAGAATTATAATAAAGGTACATGTGTACGTGTACATTATGTCTTTCCTTCTCCCTCCTTCTCCTCTTACCCAGGTTGCTGTACTATTTCTCTGAGTGTTCTCACGGCATCATCGTTACTCATGTTCTCAAAACTGATATCATTCACTTGTAGCAACATGTCTCCAGTTTCTATCCTTCCGTCGGCTGCTACGGCACCACTACACGGGTCACATGATAGTCAGATGACCTCACTTATATAAGGCTTACCCTTTCATTACGGTGCCTACGTATATTCCGCCCACGCCATCGTCATTGGCATGACCGACGATACTTATACCAAGGAAGTTATATGCATCTGAAATAGAATCAACAATATTTATTAATGCTAATTAATTTAATTAAACCACACCCATTCAATTAGGAGGCATATAACGTACATGTACATATACATGAGTTTCTAATAATATAAGTTTGTGTACTACATGTACAAGAATTCCTCTCTTATGTCTTACCCATGTTGAGAGTGACTGTTAAAATGTCCATGGAGGCATCAGACATTGTTGATGTGGTCATTGTACTCATGGACATGCTCTGAAAGGAAGAAGAAGCAAGTGAGTATACTTTCATTTCCTCTCTCTCTCTCTCTATCACTTACTCTAGGGACTTTCTTCTTAGTCAGTACTTTCTTCCGTGGGTGCTTGTGCGAAGTGACGGTACTAGTTGTCTCGACACTCAATCGACTAGACAAATAAACAAAAAAATTTATAAAAAATAGTTGTACTTGCTTCATTACATATATTAAATTCTTAACGAACAAGGATACATTTATTGTACAGCTGCATACATGTGTATAATTAGAATTCACTTGTAGAAACAATGACAGACAATATCCCATCATACACACACACTCATGATTATACTCATTTAACTTATTGGATGCATGGACTGATAACAATCGTAATGCTATTATTCTATTTAATGCTCACCTAGCAGTGTCCTCCGTCTCGTAGCAAGACGCCTCAAGGTCTGTTGCTGTTAGTTCGGTCGCTGTTTCGTAATCGGTGACACTTCCTGGTTGCCTTGGTAAAGAAAATAAGACCAATGACGTGTGGAAATTAGCAAGTACAGAGAGGGTAATTAGCAATTTTAACTCTCCCTTCTCTCCCCTCTTCTCCCTCCCCCTCTCTCTCTCCCTCTCTCTTACTTGTGTCTGTCATGGCGTCTCCTATGATGGCGGTGGTGATGATGATGATGGTGCCTTCTACTACTAGTAGAATGCCGAGACGACTTTGAAACTAAAAACAAACAAACAAACAAACAAATAAACAATTAGATACACATGGACGTACCTCCAGAGACAATGGACGCTTCATCATCATCCTTCTCTTTACTACAGAAAGAAGAGCAATGGTAACATATAAATACATACATAGTTACATCTATTACATATTACATTTATAAATGCTTACATAGTCTCGAGGTCTTTACTAGCTACGTCTGATCCGGAAGCACTTCCTTCTGATACCACCTGCACAAAAAACAAAAATTTGCATGTACAAGTATAGAAAGTGTTCTTACCCAGCAGACAATTCTGCCCTTTGCTGTTGGTAATAAAGCACTGTCTTCTATAATCTCTTCCTTGACAACACTAAGAGAAGGAAGGAGATCGGGATAGTATTAATTAAACAAACCAAACACGTTATCCATAGGATAACCAAACAATGATGCGTATAACATCACACACAATTCTATAAAGAAAACAACTGTATATATATTGTGTGTGTGTGTGTATGTATATGTACATATAGAAAGTGCCACACAGTCACATTTAGATTGCTTCCAAGTTGTCAACAATATAAGTATCAAATGACACCTGTAGTCCTTCTAAGGACATAAAAATGCAACTGCGAGTCTGGCATAATGTGTATGAATTAGAGCCACCATTCCTTCTCTCTTCTCATGGTATGGAGAGAGAGAGAGAGAGTGAGTGTGTGTATGGAGAGTTTATGACCACTTTAAAGCGACCACAAATTACTATAAAACTATTATACAATATATGCTTCGCTCTTTCTCAGACGCCAAAGATCGTTAATTATTGCTTACAAAACATTATACAGAAACCTTAAAGCAGTTCAACCACAATCAGTTTATAATAATAAATAAATATATCTTGACATCAGAATGATAATGTCAGCTGCATGTCAATAAGTGTTCTACAAAACCATTTTATATTATTATATAACTGTAAGGGATGTAATGTGATGCTATTACAATGTAGTTAATGTAGCATGGATGTACTGGGTATTATTATTATTATGTGTTACTATCATTGGGTGATTGTATATAAACAGTGGGTGAAGATAAAAGCACACCAAAGGCATGGCCTCCCTCTTTGTTGAGGTTAAAGTTTATTTAACAGGACATGAAATAATAATACAGAGACAGAGCTAGAGAGAGAGAGAGAGAGAGACAGAGACAGAGACAGAGACAGAGAGAGACAGAGAGAGACAGAGAGAGTGTGGGAAAGAGAGATAGAAGGAAAGGGAGTAAAGAATGCAACCTCACAACAGAAACCAGCCCCAACAAAGGGAAGAGATTATTATTCAAATATGAAACTATGCAGCTGGAGTAATATTATCTCATAATTTCATCAAAACAATGAAATTAAAATCAAATTCCAACACAGAGAGCTCTGTCTGCCCTCCTTGTGCCAGGATATGCCAACATTACCACAACACACAAGTATCAAAAATTTTTCCGATAAAACTTTGCCGGTGTGAGCTACAAAGGAAGTGCAGTTTCTTTTGAGCCAGGTAGACTATTGCGGAAAAGACCCCCCACAAATGTTACCAGCCTTGTTACTAAACAGAAGATTTTTGTACAGAGAGTCTTTGAGAGAAAGATCAAAGAGAATTAGCTCTAAATCATTCCACATATATTTCAAAGAAGCAGCTGTCATTATGACTGTTGTAGAGAAAGGAAGGAGTAATGGGAGGCACTAGGGATTAGGTAATGTGATGTAATGTATGCATTATGTCCTCTCCATTTCTTTGAAGAGGGCGAATTAATTAGTACAGCTGCAAAGCCACATCAAAAGAAAGGGATACACTACACACTATTAATGTTATTGCTTTCTAGCGTGATTAAACATGCCCATGACAAAAAGAAGATAGATTATTAAGAGAGAGAGAGAGAGAGAGAGAGAGAGAGAGAGAGAGAGAGTGAGTGAGGGAGAGGAGACATTTTATAAGGTGTCCTATAACATCAGATCAACACATAGGTGTCACACTGCTAATGGAAAGGAAGTTACGTGTATATGGGTACAATTATGAAGAAAAGGACAAGTGTGAAGAGAGAGGGAGAGGAGAGAAAAGAGGGAGAGAGGGGAGAGAGAGAAAAGAGAGAGGAGATTGAGGGAAAAGGTGATTAATTACAAAAAGCGGGGAGAGAAATATAAGAGGGCTGTAAGTGCGTACAAAAAAGCTTAGATTTAGTAACATATGCCACCTGGATTACAGCTAATAGAAAAGAAAACAAAAACAAAGAGAGGGAGATAAGGCCAGCCATTCAATCGTACACAAAGGAGAAAGGTACATACATGTATACTTATCAAAATGATGTCCTTATGTATACACAAATGGCAACCATACACAACACAGAATAGTAAAGAATCAAAAATAAAATTACACTATTTACAGATGCTATTATAATTATTTGTATCTAGATTATATATATATAGGATTAAAGATCTTACCCAATGTCATCGTCGATGGACTTAAAAAAGAATTTCTTGAAAGGACCCGGACGGCTAAGCTGTTCCTTGAGGTCTGAGAGTTTCACTTTTGATGGACTGAGAGGTATCTTAGTCATGTATGGAGTCTCCTCGTCATCAACGTAATAGATAACCTTAGTCTCCTCCATGTTGATGATAACTATGGTCTCGCCTTTTCAAGATAAAGAGAGAGATGGGAGATAGTGGGATTTTTAATTACGAGTGCGCGACTTGGTTTGTCCTCTGTTTATAAAGGAAAGTTGTTGTTGCTTTGTCCAATCTGCCGCCAGTCGGGTTTCACTGTAGTAAAGAGCAATAAATGTGTCTAGGCTTTGAAGTGGTCAGAGAATACAGAAGAGAAGAAAAGACACTTTCCTTTTCTCATAAGAAGTAAAGCGAAACCCAATTTGCTCGTATTTTTAATAAACCGTTGGTGCTTAGAAGATTAGCGGGAAGTGTTTCTGCGCATGCGTCAACCCACGTGCGTTACTACAGTTGAATAGTTGATGCAGCTGGTACAATAATAATTGTTGTGCTTAGAGTATAGAACTTTACTTTAAATTTGAAGAGATATTGAATGGTTTAGATTAGAAGATTTGATAGTCTGGAAGATTTGAAATGGACGGGGAGCAATTTAATGAGCTAGATCGGCTCATTAAAATCACTGGTATGCTATTTGATGTCTTAAAATTTTAATGAAATTATTACAATTTTCAAGAGTTTGAAAACAAGGTCCAAGACAAAGCAATCTACAATGAGAGAGAGATGATAGCAGGTGCATTGTGTTGGATTTCTAATCTTATGTTTTTTGTTGTTCTCAGCTTATGAAAAAGAGATAAATCAACTTAACAAAGACATAGAAAGAATGGAAAAAGAAATGGCAAGAAATGACGAGCTCTCGCTCAAATATTTACGCAAAATCGGACAATCCAAAGAAAACTACGAAAGGTAAGACACAACCGTTACCAAGGCAACAGACTGACTCCGCCCATTAAAGCTTAAAAAAGACGTCAGTGGTCTTGGATGATCACTTGGAAGCTTTGGGTAAGAAGGCTGCGGAAGCAAAGCAGGAGGCAGCAGAGAGAAGAGAGAAGATGAGACATGCTATAGAGTATTATACCTTGAAATGGGAGGAGTACAAGAAGAAATATGAATCTACTAAGCTGGGAAAGGCCTATGTGGCTGTATGCAAGGAAGTCAAGGACCTTGAGAAAGAACGTAATTTTGTTATATTTATTTGAATTATTGTACTTATTATTATTTTTGTTATTATTATATTCAATTTGTTTTAATTAGTGGAGGAACTGGATAAAGAGCTGGAAGAAGCTCGGAAAGCACTACGGAAAAAAAGTGGACAATAATTTATAATAATGTCGTTTTTATTGCACTCTCTTTGGCTTAGATCCTATTGAAAAGATTAAGCCTTGGATTATTGAATTGTAAGTACAGTACATGTACATGTACATTGCATTTCTGAGAAAATTTGAGCATTCATAAAAATACAATTTCAATCGGAATGAGCTCAAACTGTAGATGCAACATAAGTACATGTATATGCATCAGAAAACATGATAAAAATGGAGAATTCTCGCCTTTTCATTTTTGGTGAAATTTCATCAAAATCCCTGTACTATAGTACAGGGACTTTGGCCCGATTTTAAAGTAACTTTGAAGATTCATAAAAAATCCAATTTTGATTGGAATCAGTTCAAACTTTCTATGCAACATTAGTACATGTATATGTATCAGAAAACATGATTAAAATGGAGAATTCTCTCCTTTTTATTTTTGGCAAAATTTGACCCGAGACCATGTACTATAGTACAGGGACTTTGGCCCGATTTTTGAGTAACTTTAAAAATTTATAAAAAAATTAATTTTGATCAGAATCAGCTCAAACTTTCTACACAACATAAGTACATGTATATGCATCAGATAATATTATAAAAATGGAGAATTCTCGCCTTTTCATTTTTGGTGAAATTTCATCAAAATCCCTGTACTATAGTACAGGGACTTTGGCCCGATTTTAAAGTAACTTTAAAAATTCGTAAAAAATCTAATTTTGATCGGAATCAGCTCAAACTTGCTACACAACATAAGAACATGTATATGCATTAGAAAACATTATAAAAATCAAGAATTGTTGCCTAGCCATTTTTGACAAAATTTGACAAAAATCCCTGTACTATAGTACAGGGACTTTGGCCCGATTTTTGAGTAACTTTAAAAATTTGTAAAAAAATTCAATTTTGATTGGAATCAGCTCAAACTTTCTACACGACATAAGTACATGTATATGCATCAGATAACATTATAAAAATGGAGAATTCTCACCTTTTCATTTTTGGTGAAATTTTGTCAAAATCCCTGTACTATAGTACAGGGACTTTGGCCCGATTTTAAAGTAACTTTAAAAATTCGTAAAAAATCTAATTTTGATCGGAATCAGCTCAAACTTGCTACACAACATAAGAACATATATATGCATCAGATAACATTATAAAAATCAAGAATTGTTGCATAGCCATTTTTGACAAAATTTGACAAAAATCCCTGTACTATAGTACAGGGACTTTGGCCCGATTTTTGAGTAACTTTAAAAATCTGTAAAAAAATTAATTTTGATTGGAATCAGCTCAAACTTTCTACACAACATAAGTACATGTATATGTATCAGATAACATTATAAAAATGGAGAATTCTCACCTTTTCATTTTTGGTGAAATTTTGTCAAAATCCCTGTACTATAGTACAGGGACTTTAGCCCGATTTTTGAGTAACTTTAAAAATTACATACATTTACATTTACATTTTTTTACATACCGTAAGAACATGTATTTATATCAGAAAATGTATTGAATTCTCTACTAGCAGTAGTGGTTTGTTTTAATACTTTTCTTTCTCATTCCTTCAAGTGCTGAGCTTGGTCTAATGGCAGAACAATCGTCTGCTGAAGTGAAAGAATTGGATATAATTAATGAGTCACTTTCGTCCAAAATTGATCAAATGAAACTAGAAATTGATGATGCTACTGCAAAGATCCAAGAAGCATCTACTGTAATTAATCAAATGATTAAAAATAATAATTTTTCCTATTTTTAGAAGTCATCTAATAATGCTTCAAATTTAATCCATCCTCCTCCTTCCCCTTTTGTCGGACCTGGTGATGGTCAAATTTCAACCAGCAAGAGGCCAAGGATAGATCCCACAATTACGACCTCATGGGCAAGCAAATTGAAAACTTTTGCTGGGGGGCCGTCTGTTCATGTCAATAATCCCAGACCAAGTTCTACCGGCAATAATCCTGGTTCCAAGCCTGATTCTGGACCCCCTGGTCCCAGACCTCTTGCCAATGTTCTAAAACCTGTTTCTACTTTTAGTAATCCCTTGACTGCTAAGCTTACAACAGTGTCCAGACCCAGCGTCAATATTGGATCACCATTGATGACGAGACCCATAATGTGTCCCAGACCCCCTTCCATACAAAATCCTTTGTCAGTCTCCAAACCTCCTTCAATAGAAACACCTCCAATGACTTCCAGACCCCTTACTTTAGAAATCCCCCTTGTGGTTTCAAACTCTAATCCAATTATTGCCAATCCTTCTAGCATTGCCAATAATCCGAGCCTTCTTTCCAGGCCCCTTGCAGTCAACACACCACTTTCCAGACCCTCTACCATGGAAATTCCAGTGTCCAGACCCCTTGGAGTTGAATTACCAGTGTCCAGACCCCGTAGAGTTGAATTACCAGTGTCGAGACCCCTTGGAGTTGATAATACCGTGTCCAGACCCCTTGGAGTTGATAATACTGTGTCCAGACCCCTTGGAGTTGATAATACCGTGTCCAGACCCCTTGTTAGCTCAAGCGAAATTGAACCAGAAATGTCTATGGAAACATTGGAGCCAATTGGTTCAATGGAAATTCCACAAGGGCAGGAAAGTGGCTTAAATTTCTATTATGGTGAAGTAAGTAACTGAAAATTGACCTTTTGGTATGATATAATGTCTACATGTGTGCATCATATTTCTCCCAAATTAAACAATTTCAGAATTGTGGATTACTATTATATTTTATTGTTGCACTAGATGCAGCAGGAAGGACTACCTCAAGAAGGAGAGGAAGAGGGACTGAGGGAGGATGATTATAATGTAGGAGGATTAGGAGGATTAGGAGGAGGCGGTTTTATGAGTGATTTGTTTAATGAAGCAGCTGCTAACACTGTACCATCTTGTGAATTATTTTCTTCAGTAAGTATATATTTATAAGTTGGTAGCAATAATGTTTATTTTTATATTTGCCATGTGTTAAAAACTACCACTCAATACCAATCATCATATTTCAATCTATGTATGTGTTAGTGTGAAAATTTAAGGTGTTAATTTTTTTAAATCCAATTTTACATCTATAGATATCTGGAGGTAACTACTCCCAAAGTGTCGGGATTAACGAGACAGCCGGTAACTTCCCTGATGTATTTTCTTCTGCCACTGGAGGTCAGAGTGGAAATCAGGGAGGAGGCGTTAGTGGTGGTGGTGCAGGTGGAATGTTCTCTTTTTTTGATGCTAAGACGACTGATACTGGAAGTAAGGAAGAGTGAGAGCTACAAGTATTGTTCGTATGTTTTTTTGTAAAATTATTTGCTTAAAATTTTTAACTTATGTTGTGTAGAAACTGATTCCGATCAAAATTGGATTTTTTTTACAAATTTTTAAAGCTGTTGCAACAAAATTTGACTGACATTGGTATTTTATTCTCCTCTTTTTTATCTTTTTTTAGTGTTTAGCTTCTTTGGTGGAGATAACACCACTAATAATAGTGGTTGGTAGTACTAACTGGCTAATGGATATTCCAAGAGCATAATCACAGCTACCGTATTATGAATATGATTTAGTGAACATCGAAATTGTAGATATGCATGAGAATTTAATAATTCAAACAACATCATAAATATTACAATATATAGGACACTTTAAACATTATAATTATGATAATTGTCATTTATTATTAACATTATTAAGATAATGGCTACAAATTCTCTTCCTCCTCTTCTTCTACTTCCATTATTGTTTCTGATACATCCATTTCTCTAGGTGTGAGAATGTAAGACTGTGAAAGATGGAGTCTCTGTGCTGTGGTTGAAGGAGGAGGTGGAGGAACATACCTCTCACCATCTTCTTTCCTAGTGCAAGTGTTTCTTAAGTGTTTAACATGAACTCCAAATGCTAGTACACTTATTGGCACAATAGGACCAATGAGATAGACCACTATTGCTATGTAAGAGCTAGAATGTGACTCTACATTGGAGTGATTGCAGTTATCAGTGAAAGCATTGTTCATTCCTAATCTCTGACAGTTGAAGTATGCCTCTGAAGTAGAAGTCAGCTTGTGTCTGTTAATCCCTTGATGTATGGAGTATATCAACACAAGGAACTGGTATAGTAATAGGCAAGCAAAGATTATCAATGTCTTTTTATCTGTGTAGGAAAGCATTGGTCTTTTTAATGATCTTACTAACTTATTACCAAGTATGCCATGATACTAGAGACAAAGAAAGAAAAGGAGAGATGAAAATTAAAGTAAAAGCATGCACATAATTGCAGTCATGATGCAATTATTATTTTTCTATTTTACCTTAATAACGACCTGTACTATAATAAGTAGTAGGACACCGCCAATGCTTAGCATTAGGAGATTAGGAAATACGAATAGATAAAACTGATACGTCAAGTTATTTAATATGCAGAATGAAGTGGATGAATCAGTGTCTACATAGTCAGCTCCTATTAATGCTATCATTACCAATATTCCTGGTATTACAAAACCTATATAAAAATATATCATAATTGTCCTTTATGTAGAGGTTTTTTATACAGTAAGGATGTAATTGGTACACCCATATGCACTTTATTACCTAGTACAACTGTAAGGATTGCAATCAATGTTCTTTTCTGAGTCCCTTTTGTCTTTCTTGCATGGAAAGGAAATGCAGTCAAGTAAAGAAAGAAAGCAATATGAGTGAGCCAGAAGCAAGTCATCTGTGTAGTTATATAGTAGAATATTATCCCTTAAAAGAAACAGAGGGAAAGAAAAGTAATATTGTAATATGTGTACGCAAATATATTACCTGATACAGTGCAGTAGAGTGAAGGGTCATTCGTTATGCTAATATCAAATCTTGTGTCAGTACAAAATAAATCAAGTCGACTACCAAACACGGACAATGCAAGGAAAAAGGCTATACAAAAATGTCATGAGATATATACTGGAAATATAACTTACTTAGGACCAGATAGTCAAGTAGCAAGAATACGACAAGTCGAGTTGGGAATTTAAACCTTTAGGAATAGAAAATAATAATATGGCATGCCATTTGATTTTGATGGTGAAAATGTTACACTTACATGTACTTATTTTCATAAATTAAGAGGAGCAACGCTCCCAGGCCAGCAGCAAGGCTTACAATGATGCTCATTGATTTTAAAAGTATTAGAGCATCTTTGAGATTGTCTGAGTCTGTAGTCCAGCTGTAACAAGAAGGATAGCAATAGTCATTGTCTTGGATGAAGGAAGGAGAGCAAGTGATAGAAATATTTTCAGTATTGTTGGTAACATTAGGGATTACAGGGTCAGTGAAAGAAGTGCCATATTCCTATTGACAGAAAAATGATAAAAGGAAGTGGATCATTTTTTTGACAGCTTTACAAGATGCTAAAAGATGCTTATCCAATAACTACAATAATCACTGGAGTTCAGTGCTTTCTTTAAATTAGTACATATAGACTTACTGATACATAATAATAAATAGCTAGAGAGTGGATTAAGAGTACCAGTAGTATACCAGCAAACACCAAGCCTACTCTTCTTGTTTTCTTGTTGCTAAAGGATGAACAATCAAGCTTGAAGTCTTGTGATTTTCGTGAGTGCAACTCTATCATTTTATCAACAAACAGAGAGAGAGATTTCTCAAGAGAAGACACACCCAAACAAATATTTATTCATGACCTGAGACACCAGTGTGCATTGTATTCACAATGCCACACACATTAACTGCATTATGCATGATCAATAGATGTTACTACCATGAGGATCATAACATATATATGTGCTACAGTACACTATTATTAATAATTAAGATAAAGATGCATTTTAAAATTGAAATTTTACGTGGGAATAACGTAAGATAAGTGATGAACACAGTTTTGTCAATCAGTACAAGATTTCCTGAGCATCCATTTCATAAGTTTTGTTAATGTCACTGTGAGTTGATATGGGTCTGTTTCTAAACTGCTGATTATCGTCACTCGTGGATTCCAACTCTTTCAAATCAGAAGACGAGCCCTTTTGAGTTGATACCCAATTCACTACGACAAAGTTTAAGATGAAACCAGGGACAAGTACAAATATCAAAAATGCCAGAAAGAGTATGTAGGGATGAGAATAATGCTCAAAATTATCTCGGGAGCATTCCCCGGGTATATGCCCATCTCTCTCGCATATAAAGTACTGAACGATGGCAGTAGTGATAGAGCCGCTCTGGGTCCCAGTCAGTACTGATAGTATTAACAACACACTGCCAAACAGTAAAGCACTCATTGGGATTAAGAGTAACGCCCTATTAGGAGCTGGTATAGCTAAATCGGCTTTAATATCTTTAGTCTGTCGAAATAAACCTTGAAACTGTAAGAATGAAGAATTAAAGCATGTATTATTTATCGTAGAAACGTACTTTTTGAATGTGCCAGATAATGAAAATGAATAAATAGCTGCCATTGAGTAGTAGTATGTAGTAAGGTATCACAAAAGAGTAAAGCCAGTAATCGAATTTGTTTGGCGTACAGAATAAAGGCGGGAATGATGATTGAGTGTACTTAAAATCGTCAAATGTGTAGCATATGCCAATGGCAACTCCAGGGACCACAAAACCTATAACAATACACATAAAAGAAGAGCTAGTATGATAATAGTCATATCAATGCATACCAATCAAAGTGAATACGACATGGTTGATATTATTTAACACGTATTTCTTTGTTTTCTCTGCAAAATATAATGCACAGAACATAGACCATAACTGGATGACTGCGAAAAGCCCAACCTGGAGTGCTGTATATTGAAATACAATTCCTATTGGGTAAACAATGAGGATAGTCCAACCATACAATAGATAGTATTAGTACCTGAGATAGTACAGAATGTGCTTGGATTATTTATACTTATCTCTAATTGGTCATGACTGCAGTAAACCTCAGGCCAAAATATTGACAGTAGCACAAAAATAACTAAGCAACAGAATAAACAAACATGATTCACTCGTGCATGGCATCTTTCTTACCCTCTACCAGATAGTCGAGTAGCATGAAAGTACAGTAAACAAGTGGAAACGAGAACCTAACCAAAAGATTGACATTCTTAGCAGTGTATGGAATTACTTATCGCATTACATTTTCTTATATTCATAAAGAGAGAAGGCTAAGGCTATGACTGCCATTAAGAGCCCAGTCAGTGATACTGATGTATTCAATATCTTCATTGCTAGAGAGAGACTCTCTGGGTCTTGCTTCCAATTTTGACAGCTTGCCCAGCAAAAATCATCAGCATCTTTAATAAAGTTTTTCTCGCAAGTCGTATTGGAAAAATTAGAACCAGAGGAGGCTTCACTGTTGTTACAAACTGTCGTGTTATTTTCAATAGTTTGACCTAAAAAACAAAAAATGCATTATATTTAATATTGAGAGTGTTAATAGCTTACTTCTAAGTGGTAATTGAGCACAGTCTGGAAGTAGATCTGGTCTTAAAAGGCCAACTTGATGCCATTCAGCTCGACAGATTGAATCACGTATATAGACACACAACTCTCTTGTAGGCTTGACTGTTCTTTGCAAAGAGGTGCAGTCACAAAGAGGAAAGAAGTAAAGACAAAAGAAAGGAAATGCTAACTGCTGGCACTCTGAGCTTGCCAAATCTGCAGATAAATGATTATTGTGCTAGTTATTCTTTAGATTTCTTACTTAAATATTGATTAAATTGAACAGCATTGTATTCCATTGAATTCTGATCTAATCCAGAACCAACTCTCAGCTCATTCCCATGAGCACATGAAGACCATGCAGTCAATACTGGAGCACACACACTGCCTCTGTAGGCTGTGCATGAGTCACTATTGCAGCCATTGGGAATCAACCCAAGGCCATGCAGACTGCACAGTGTTACTGGCTCATTTATTGTAGCATTGCTGGATTCATTACTGCAATGGGTAGTGTTTGTAGTCCCTGTCACATTGAAATTTATCTACAAGAATTGAGGGAGAGAGAGAGAGAGAAAGAAAGAAAGAGGTGTGTCAAAGCTATATATATCGATTGCAACTTACTGTCCCACTTAAGTCTTCATCATTGAAGGCATATTCCTATTGTATAAATAATGCAGTAATACAAATAGTTAGGTAGTTTTGGGCCTTACATCAATATAATAGTAAACTATGAGGCTTGAGAGAGTAAGAGTGACTACAGCACAAGCTAGCACTAGACTAGTACATTCTCTTTTTGAGTAGAGCATCATACATATATTGCTGCTGCTGCTGCTTCAATTTGAATGAGAACTGCAAAGAAAAGAAAGACTGGGGCAGATTAACAGCAAGACAAAATATGTAGAGCCTAAGTTGTATGGTATTTATATAGATATGGCTGAGAGGGTGCAGGATTGGTTCTCAAATGAATGATTTAATTTTTAATGAAATTCATGTAGTGTGGGTAACAGCAGCAAGGGAGGAAAGAGAGATCAAAGTCTATAAACATCAAATCATCAGTAATTATGGTAAAAGCAATAATAAGCTAATTTTAAAAGAATAAAAATAATTTTAAAAGAATAATAATAGATCTAAAGTTGCACAATCTAGTAATTGAGCTCCACCCTTTCATTGAACGCCCACTCACATTGATTAGTCCAGCCCATATTGGGCTTAGGCAAATGAAACCCCATCCATAATACAGAAAGCCACTGCATTTGACAACTGGTGCACAGTCATGGTCACATTTAGCTTGCAGGATTTTTGATTTTTGGAAGCATAAAATCACTAAAAGGGCGGGGCCAGAGGAGTGGTTTGATATTCCGAATATGTCCGTACACTATCTACAAACTACTGTCTCCGTACACGTACAAATTTCATTTGATTTCTTCAGTAAATTTTCACGTGATAAAAAGGTGAATCAATGGTCGACATGTTTGTCCTGTTTCTCTCCTCTCTTCTTCTTGCTTCTGCCCCAGTGCTGGCAGATCCAGTCCCACTGGTAATGTGGCACGGTATGGGCGACACTTGCTGCTTTCCCTTCAGTATGGGCGCCCTCATGAAGCTGGTAGAGAAGCAGGTCCCTGGAATATACGTGCAATCCATTGAGATAGGAAACAGCATATCCGATGATGAGCTGAACGGGTTTTTCATGGGAGCTGAGAAGCAGATTGATATAGTTTGCAAGAATCTTTCGGCTAATCCTAAACTCCAGCAGGGCTTTAATGTAATTGGGTTTTCCCAAGGGGGCCAATTTCTAAGGGGTCTTGTACAGCAGTGCCCCAACGTCACCGTCCGAAATCTCATTTCGGTCGGGGGCCAGCACCAGGGGGTGTACGGTTTCCCAAGGTGCATAGGTACTAACGTAACGCTTTGCAATGAAATGAGACGCCTCCTCAATATCGGAGCTTATAACAAGTTAGTACAAGACATTTTAGTGCAGGCCCAATATTGGCACGACCCCCTGAACGAGGATGAGTATAAGAAGAAATGCGTCTTCCTTCCCGACCTCAATCAAGAGAATACCTACAACCCAAACTACAAGTTACGACTCCTCACTTTGAAAAACCTTATACTGGTAAAGTTTCTTGAGGATGAAATGGTGCAGCCGAGAGAGAGCGAATGGTTTGGGTTTTATAAGCCGGGACAAGCAGTCGAGACTTATACTTTATTTGACAGTGACCTTTACAAGAATGACCTCTTAGGATTGAAGACTCTCAATGATACCGGTCGGCTTCATTTCCTTGGAGCTCCTTTTGATCATTTGAAGTTCACTGAGCAATGGTTCATTGATAATCTTATACCATTCATTAATGTCCAATTTGATGAAGATGAGAAGAAAAGGGACTAAGCCATGTTAAAAATGATTTTTTGACTATTATTATTATTCTCCTTCCTATACTTGTTGTTCCCCATGTTACTTGTTGCATATACATGAAGTGTTGATTGTTTACTTTTATTTGTTTAAACTGTTTTCAGTCAATTCATATGCTGTTACTGACATGTAAATTATGAAAAATTAATGACAATTGAGTATTTTTATGATAAAAATGGACGCTTGCTCCTTCTAAATGTACAGTTTATGAAACACAGCTATAATGTGAGGGAGTCTATACAACACCAGTACTATCATCACTATCAATATTAGTCCTAACATCTTATTACTGGTACTAATCTTCCCAAAAGATTTATCACCATCATTTATGACGCTATCAGAAGGTAAACGCAATACGTCTATTATCTCTCCCATCATGAAATGCTTCCCAGTCGATACTATCTTAACAAGCGCCATTTTCCCCATGAGTTCTTTATACTGTGGAACTAGCACCTAAAAACGAAATTATATAAAAGTACATGTCTTTTAGCTCCACCCATTTGCCAGCCCACCTGTTCATAGTACTTAGTGTGTCCAACATAATAACGCTTGTCATGTGACATTTCTGTGACGAGTATGGTCTCAATCCCGCCCACACGTTTAGAGTATGGAGTATAGGAATGGAATAATTCCGTTAATTTCCGAGACCTGTTCTTTACCTAATAACAACAACAACATTACATGTAAATAATAATAACAACAATGATACAAAAATATACATAATAATAGTGGTGAAATTGCAAAAATTAAATAATAATAATAATAATAATAATGATAATGTACTTCATTTGTTGGTATTCGTTTCATTTTAGCAGCTGGAGTCCCAGGCCGTGGATAAAACTGATTAATAAACAATGAAGGGAACTTATACTCATTAACGAGAGAAAGAGTCTCACTGAAATCCTATCAAATAAATAAAAATTAATTAATTAATAATAAATAAATAAATATAGTACTTCTTCAGTTTCAGTTGGAAACCCACATATGACGTCTGTAGCTATGGTAACACCAGGAACTCTAAGATGGTAAAGAAATGTAATAATATAAAGAAAGACCTTCCCTCTCTACTCAACTGTTCTTTTAGATAATCCACTACTTTCCTAAACTGTTTGATGGTGTATTCTCTCTTCATTTCTCCCAGTACAGCATCAGAGCCAGATTGGACCGGAACGTGAAGGAATGAATACACTCGTGGATGGGACAAGATCTTTGCCATTTCCTACAAAAAATAAAAACCATTTATCACAAGTTAGGAGCCTAGAACGTGTTCATGCAAATGTAATTTAAATGTAAAATTCTCTCCCAAGAAGGTTTAAAGTATCAGAAAATGTAATAAAAATTGGGGGTGATTTTTTGGCCATTTTTCGGAAAAAACCATGGGCTATAGTACAGGGATTTTTTCAGAAATTGGCCTATTTTTAAAAAATGGCGGTAACTTTAAAAATTTAAGTCTAAATCAGCTCAAACTTCCTACGCAGCATAAGTACATCAATATGCATCAGAAAATGTAATAAAAATTGGGGGTGATTTTTTGGCCATTTTTTGGAAAAAACCATGGGCTAAAGTACAGGGATTTTTTCAGAAATTGGCCTATTTAAAAAAATGGCGGTAACTTTAAAAATTTAAGTCTAAATCAGCTTAAACTTTCTACACAGCATAAGTACATCAATATGCATCAGAAAATGTAATAAAAATTGGGGGTGATTTTTTGGCCATTTTTTGGAAAAACTATGGGTTATAGTACAGGGATTTTTTCAGAAATTGGTCTATTTTAAAAAATGGCGGTAACTTTAAAAATTTAAGTCTGAATCAGCTCAAACTTGCTACACAGTATAAGTACATCAATATGTATCAGAAAATGTAATAAAAATTGGGGGTAATTTTTTGGTCATTTTTCTGAAAAAACCATGGGCTATAGTACAGGGATTTTTTCAGATTTTGGCCCATTTAAAAAAATGGCGGTAACTTTAAAAATTGAAGTCGGAATTAGCTCAAACTTTCTACACAGCATAAGTGCATCAATATGTATTAGAAAAGGTAATAAAAATTGGGAGTGATTTTTTGGCCATTTTTCATGGGCTATAGTACAGGGATTTTTTTCAGATTTTGGCCCATTTTTTAAAATGGCCGTAACTTTAAAAATTTAAGTCGGAATCAGCTCAAACTTGCTACTCAATATAAGTACATCAATATGTATCAGAAAATGTAATAAAAATTGGGAGTGATTTTTTGGCCATTTTTCTGAAAAAACCATGGGCTATAGTACAGGGATTTTTTCAGATTTTGGCCCATTTTTAAAATGGCTGTAACTTGAAAAATTCAAGTCGGAATCAGCTCAAACTTGCTACACAGTATAAGTACATCAATATGTATCAGAAAATGTAATAAAAATTGGGTGTGATTTTTTGGCCATTTTTCATGGGCTATAGTACAGAGATTTTTTTAGACTTTGGCCCATTTTTAAAATGGCTGTAACTTGAAAAATTCAAGTCGAAATCAGCTCAAACTTGCTACACAGCATAAGTACATCAATATGTATCAGAAAATGTGATAAAAATTGGGGGTGATTTTTTGGCCATTTTTCGGAAAAAACCATGGGCTACAGGGATTTTTTCAGATTTTGGCCCATTTTTAAAATGGCTGTAACTTGAAAAATTCAAGTCGGAATCAGCTCAAACTTGCTACACAGTATAAGTACATCAATATGTATCAGAAAATGTAATAAAAATTGGGTGTCATTTTTTGGCCATTTTTCATGGGCTATAGTACAGGGATTTTTTCAGACTTTGGCCCATTTTTAAAATGGCTGTAACTTGAAAAAGTCAAGTCGAAATCAGCTCAAACTTGCTACACAGCATAAGTACATCAATATGTATCAGAAAATGTGATAAAAATTGGGGGTGATTTTTTGGCCATTTTTCGGAAAAAACCATGGGCTATAGTACAGGGATTTTTTCAGATTTTGGCCCATTTTTAAAATGGCTGTAACTTGAAAAATTCAAGTCGGAATCAGCTCAAACTTGCTACTCAACATAAGTACATCAATATGTATCAGAAAATGTAATAAAAATTGGGGGTGATTTTTTTGGCCATTTTTCGGAAAAAACCATGGGCTATAGTACAGGGATTTTTTCAGATTTTGGCCCATTTTTAAAATGGCTGTAACTTGAAAAATTCAAGTCGGAATCAGCTCAAACTTGCTACTCAACATAAGTACATCAATATGTATCAGAGTGATTTTTTGGTCATTATTTGGAAAAAACCATGGGCTATAGTACTGGGATTTTTAAAGATTTTGGCCCATTTTTTATATGGCCGTAACTCAGAAAATAGAAGTCAGAATCAGCTCAAACTTGCTACACAGCATAACTACATCAATATGTATCAGATATTTATAATAAAAGCAGTTATTAATCATTACCTCCAGGTGTTCCATTATGTACGGTGGGTTTGTCATTCCAATACGAAGCATAGAACCTTCCGGCATCACCTCAACAAGTTGCCATAGCAACTCGGGTAAAGTCACGCCTATATCCCGGCCGTATGCACCAGTGTCTTCGCTCGTTAGCCATATTTCGACCACGCCTTCTTCAAAAGCTTGAGTAGCTCTTGAGATTATTTCTTGCGGATAATAACTAGCGAGATTACCTCGAGAGTGCTTTGTCTTACAATAAGTACAGTGATTAAGACAGCTGCAAATAAAGAGATTCATTATATTAAAAATAAACAGATATAATACATATTCAAAAAACAACGTACATGTACATGTATAGTAGAACCTTCAAACAGAGGCCTGTTTAAAAGTTTAAGATAGTAAATAGAAGCCTAAAATTCCACTTAAAGATTTACTGTACATCAACTATCATTATATAAATAATAATGATTATAATTATTAATTAATTAATTGATTACCCTGAATTGATTAATTAATTAATTGATTACCCCGAATTGATTGGTATTATTTCCACTAAAGGATTCTTCCTGATTTTTGGTAGCTCCAGACTCGGTCCGGCTAACTGACGCCCACTCCCTCTCTTTGTCCCAAACAGCCTAACGGTTCCTCCCTTTAAAGCTCCCTCCACCACTTCAACTATACGATCAATCTGTTTGACACCCACGGCAGAAATGTCCTTTATTTCGTCAAGGTCTTTCTGTCCCTGGGGGACGCACCCGGCAACCACAAGGGTCTTGTTGAGTTCCTTTCCTTTCTTGATGGCGCTTTTGAAACCATCTTCACTTGGACCTTTCACAGTGCAGCTGTTTAGTAGCCACACGTGAGCGTCCAATGGTGAGTCTGAAAAAGGAATTCGAAAAAAAAGAATTTTAAAATTAATTTCTATATTGATTAATTAGTGGGTGTGGCCAATCTGGCCTAAATTAAGGGTTAAAAATAACTAGAATGCATCGTACCAGTAATAGTGTATCCTTCAGCTGCTAGCAGTCCTGCCATGTACTCTCCATCGCTAGTATTATGAGAGCAGCCCCAGGTCTTTATGTAGATGCTCTGACTGCCTGGGATGAAGCTGTCACCTTCAGCAACAAGGTTGGGGCCATTGTTTCGCCTCAAAGCGCGAGGAAGAACGCCTCTAGTGGCTCTAGAGGATTCCCTAGGCTCTTCAGAAGACGGAATGAGGTCTTCAATGTCAGGAAACGCTTCCTCTTCTCTGCAATTAGAGCTACAATTCTCACCATCACCATCAGCCATGTTTAGAGTCCGTACTTTAGTCGTAAAACTCCGTTCACGTAAACCACGTGGAACATTGTGTTGACAATGGATGAAACCTCTCACTTGGATGTCATGAAAGACGTGAAAGAGCTGATCCAAAACATCCTAAAAGATCCTTTTCTAAAAGACCTGTCTCCAGAGATATCATTAGATGAGGTTCAGTCCCGTTTAGCCCTCGAGCAAGGACGTGCTATGACTCTTAATGTACAAAAACTTGACAACACAAGTTTTCCTGTCATTGTTTTACAAGGAGCAACTGTCCATGAACTAAGGAAGAGTGTAGAGAATGAGACGGTCAGAAGACTCAAGAAGGAGGGGAGGACTACTTTCGTTAGCTGGGGTTATGTCTGGAAGACTTATTCTCTTTTCTACGGACAACACAGGCTGTCTAAACTTGATGACAAACTTGCAAACTATGGCATATCTAATAATTGTGACATACATTGGAAAAAAGTAGTAGAAAGAAAGCAATTTTAATTTTTAAATTGTAATTACATGAATTACATGTCTCACACATTAAGTTATTCATTATCACGTGTACTGCATGTGCAGCAAAATAGGCGTGGCTCATCTCAGCTGAACTTGTAAAAAGTCAACTTCATGCCTGGCTTATTCAGCAGGGCAGGGCGACTACACTACAGGTCAAAACTGAAAAGAAACATCAGTTAAAGAGGTCATAAGGACATGGCTACAGCGGCGGCAGTGCAACAGCCTCCATCCCTAGAAGAAGAAGAAATTGACGACGACTTTGTCTTGATAGAGCTTGTACTGGACGGGAGCCAGAGGGACAAGAGCACTCCCAAAGAGCCTGATAGAAGTAAAAAACAGAACCCAAAGTCTGGCCCACCTAAAGTTCCTGATAGTATACCTAATTTTGAGGATTATGAAGATTTTGTTGAAATTACAGTAGAGGAAGCAAATGTGAGTATCATGTGGTATCATGGCTTGTAACATTTTGTGTTTCTCTTAATAGTTACCAGAGTCCCGGTCGGAAGATAACAAGAGATCTCTTTATGGTGTTCGTTTGTTCCAGTATTCCCCAGAGAGCGAAGGAAATATATACATAACAAACGAAGAGCTGTAAATTTCCAATATCCTTCACTCCTTTTTTACTCTCCTTTCCTCTGTCTCTCTAATCACCAACTCAACTATCTCCATTCCACTTAACATTGTTATGTACATAGTTTAATGTTTAATATTTGTGTTGAGAACTTGAGCTTAACGACTTCACATGTATCGCTATTACTTGTGTATATATATATATAATTAACCTATTCATAGACAAGACTCTACCATTCTATTATATAACTTATTATTGCCATTGCTGTTATTGTTTCATTAGTGTTACATGTATGATGTATCATTGTTACATTTTCATTGTGTAATCTGGTACTCTGCACTCTACTTGCTATAACAATTGTTAACTAGAGCACTATGTGTGTACTATTGTTATAACAATGAATATGATTTAAAAACCATCTCCAAATATGGTAGAATAACATTGTATCAGTGTTCATATCTTGCCAAGCTTCCTTCGCAGGGATTTCATCCGCTTTCTCCATTTCCTCAACTTGTGTTTCTTCATTTTCTTTTTTCTTTTCTTTAAGACACTGCTGCAATCATAACCATTCACTGCCTGGGGTTGTGATGATGGCAATATTAATGGAAGGTTAAGTGACAGTTGGAAATTGGAGCCACACCCACTAGCCCTCAGTGGAGAAGAAAGCTGAAAAAATGAGCATTCCAACTTTTTAATTTCTCCACATGTCCTCGAACCAAAGCCACAAATCCCTAGTCTAAGAGGCCCATACAGCCTCTTACAGCAACTGAAGAGACGAGGAGCAGCCATGAATGAATTCGAGCTGAATGGCACACCACGTGGGCAATGGAGCCTACTGCGCATGCGCAGTGACAGCCCCTTCACGTTGTCTGGAAAGGTGAGGCCATTCTTCCCTGTCTTTTTAACTAATCTTTTATACCTTTTAGTAACAAAGCATGGCAGAGGGAGATGCAGATTTTGAAGGAGGCGATGCCGGAGCCAGTGAAACTTACCCACAGCAATGCTCTGCCCTGCGCAAGGGAGGGCATGTTGTTTTAAAGGGTAAACCCTGTAAAATAATGGAAATGTCTACTTCTAAGACCGGAAAGCACGGCCATGCAAAGGTATTGCTCTTAAAGATGACTCGTGATTTTTAAATAATGGTATCTTCCAGGTGCATATGGTGGGTGTTGATATATTTACTGGAAAGAAGTATGAAGATATATGTCCGTCCACGCACAATATGAATGTGCCTCATGTGAAAAGAGTTGATTATCAGGTACTGGAAGAAGTTTTGCCGTGTTTATTTGTGTGGGCTGGTTTGTGGTTGTGGGCGTGGTTCTCTTGCCATTAATTAATTAAAATAATTATGCATTGTAGTTAAGTTGTAAATTTTAATTCCGTTATGTTCATCAGTAGTAATGTTCATTCTCTTAATTCCCACTCTCCATAGCTAATTGATATTTCTGATGATGGTTTTCTTAGTCTAATGACGGATACTGGAGACCAAAAAGACGATGTTAAACTTCCAGAAGGTGACGAGGGTAAATCTATTAAGTCTCGTTTTGACAACGGTGATTCTTTCTTGGTCACTGTTGTGGTAAGCTGCGTTTTAATCAGATTTTTAAATCTTCTAGATTCTATGCAATTTGCCATGATTGCAACAACTTTTAATGTTATATATTTTTAGACCGCCATGGGGACAGAAGCAGTGATGGGGACCAAAAACATGAAAGAATAGTAACGACTGCTATAGAAGGATGGTTCCTTGGTTATCTCTAGTAGCTGTGCATTATAAATATATAATGTTTAATTATTTCTACTCAATTATTATTGTATAACTAGTTCTATTATTATTATTGTTGTTGATGCAAATCACTGTTTCCATCTTTCATCATATTATTGTTATTATTATTATTATTATTGTTAATAATGGTTGTTTTTGTGGTTAAAAGATGTTTGTTTCTGCTGGAAGAAATGGTAGTTTTAAAAATTGTTAGTTACGTCAAAATGGTGTATGAGAACTAAGAAGTCAGTAACTCCTATTATACCTATGCATAGTATCATAATGCTTGGCTAGTGGCTGTAAAGAAATTTTTTTGTATTTTAATCAAAAGCACAGGTCTCATCACACAAAAATTATTTGTTCCTGTCCTTTTATTTCTTGACTTGAGTCCCAGCAATCGCCAGTACCTTCTCACCAGCAGCTGTGTCTGATTTTTAAACAGAAATTGATTTTTTTGAAATAATAAAAGCACAAGTACCTGCATCCGATATTTTCTCAAATTGTGACAAAGCAGCTGTTGAATGTGCGGAGAGGAAATCCAGTTCTTCTGCCGTTAGCTAAAAAACAAAAAAATTTTCAATAGCGCCACAGTTTCAATTTTACCTTTTCTCCCAATTTTCTCAAAGCAACCAGTATTTCTACTTTCTGCTGCGTCAGAGTGTCTTCTGTTATCTTACCCATCTTTGCGTCTCTCTGCATCTAAAGTTAGTATCAAAAATAGGCGTGGCATTTAAAGGTATGGTCTCACGTCCGTGAGTCTTTGACGGAGCTGTCCGGGTTGCTTTTTGGCAAAGAGTCGAATAACTTCAGGAGTTTTGAAAGCGTCGCTAATTGCAGCCTGTATGGCCTAAAAACAAGACGGAAGGATCAAGATTATACATTTTAAACAATTTTCATGAATGATTGAACAATCCGCCAACATGAATGTGAACAGCTGTTGCAGACAGAAAATTGAATGTTCAATTGCAAAGCTATGACAACACATATTGCAAGCAGCTTGTATTTGATAAGCCACACCTACCAGTTGCATCCGATTGATTTCATTGACCAGTGTCATATCGCCAGACGTCAGTTTACTCAGTGACTCGTTAAACTCTTTTAACTGCTCCACTGTCTCTTGTCTCGTCTCTTCATACTCTGCAGCATCCATGTCATCTCTGGTTTTTGATAACTTTTAATATATTTTTTCTTAGTTTCAAGAGCTCACTTTGCTTCCTCCAAGTCTTCCAACTGGGCAACAAGACGGTCCAGCTGTTCCTCCAAATTTTGTTTCAGTTTTTGTGTCTCGCTCCGACCTCTAGAGCTCATTTTAGCCTATCTTTTTCAGGCTTTCTCTCTTATTGTCACGTGGGTGGGGCTGTTTATAATAGGCGTGGTTTTCACAGGCGTTAATAGGGCGGGGTTTTCGATGTGTTATAAAAGATGGCCGGCGACGGCTATCCATGCAGTTTTCGTTGCATTAGGTGCCGCCCGTAATCTGCTATTGCTCCTTTTGCTAACACTGCAGAGAGTCTTATCTTTTGTGTTCTGTCAAGCTACCAAGTTGTATAAACTTGTAGGTAAGCACCCCTATATGGTATGCAGCTATGCTGCTGCATACTGAGAACTGAACCCTATGTATTTTTCAATTTTTATGTTCCATATAACAGTCTTCAGTTTCATAAAGACAGCAAATATGGCCACTGCTGCTCTACCTAAAATTGATTATCTTCAGAAGATAAGCAGAAACACCATATTTAATGCCAGAACTAATCAGAAGGTATGGTAAATGATTTTGCAATCAAGACTTCCATCTTTCTTGTAGGATATACCAGTTGGAAGCCTCTGGGAAGATGGCCCTGTTGTTATCATGTTCCTGAGGCGTTTTGGATGACAATTGTGCAGGCTTGGTGCTGTGAAAATCAGCATCATAGAGGTATGAATGCATATGCATAAACTGCATGCTTGATTTACATTTAACTATGATATGTCTGCAAGTTTCATTAGCTTAAATAACATCTACTGACTTTCCTCTTTCCTTTTAATAGCCATTACTTTCTAAGCATGGCATAAAGGTGGTTGCGGTGGGATTGGAAATGTTGGGTGTGGAGGAATTCATTGAAAGGAAATTTTTTCCTGACAGTGTTGACATATATGTTGATGAGAAGAAGACTTGCTATCAATGTCTTGGTTTTAAGAGGTGAGAAACAACATATACATGTATATGCACTTAAAAAACTGTTAGAGAATATGCAGGCTTCAAAATGACCTAGTTAAATCATTTTTAACATAAACCTTTTAAAAAGACTTTTCTTAAAGCATTCTGCAAAATACAAATGTCTTTTGAAGGATAAACTTTATAGCTTTGACGCATTTCCACCACTGCATAAGGTTCTGTTACACCATCCTAAGAATTCTATTTTCAACAATGGTGTAATTGAATTTTTAGATCTGTATACAGCCATATTATGATCTATTGTATACAACAGGTTTACTCTTTTGAATGTCTTCAAGGCTCTAGTCAGCAGTGTTAGTAGGAAAGCTATTATGGAGGTGAGCAGCATGAACCGATACAGGCTATAACAGTATAACTTTGTTTAGGCAAGGAGGAACAAGATTGAAGGCAACATGCAAGGAGATGGTCTTCAGAATGGCGGCCTCATAATAGTCGGTAAAGGTTCTAAAATGCTATTGTTTCATAAGGAAGAGTATCCTGGAGAACATGTAGAGAATGATGTAATACTAAAAACACTAGAAGTGGACGAAACAACAGTGTAAGTGAGAGAGAAAGAGAGAGTGTGATACTGCAGTATATTATCAGTGCATTTGCTAATAGCTTATAAAAATGTTCTTTTTGTAGGGTATCAGCAGAAAAAGCTGATACTATGGCAAAAATGGAAGAAGAAGGACTCAATTGTGACAAGGCTTGCTTTGGTGATGATCCACCAACAGCACAAGCTAAAAAGAAGATGTTTGTTGCCAAAAAGAAAACATAAGCTCCTTGTAATTACGAGCGTAACTGTAATGTAATGTAGTACTAAAAATTAGATAATTTTATTTGCGATGATGGATAGAAATGAAGCGGATGTGGTCAACCTTTAGGTCTACATCTGCTGACGTTGCATCTAATATCCATCAATCACAACTGTAACGGCATCACTTAGAAATTATAATTACAAAAAACATATTCAACATGTCACGGCTCCGTAGTGAGCAGATTGAACGCAGCGCCTGTACTTTCCCAGTAGTCCAGGGAGAGGGCCAGCTGGTGGTTGCCAACGAGAACGACGTTCACTTAAAACATCAGGCGCAACATTCTAGTGGGCGTGTATCAAAGTCGTTAATACAATTAGTGCAACTAACAATGTTAATGCTCCTATTGCTCTTGTCAATGGTGAGGGTGTCCCCCTCTTCTATCAGAGCTATTGGCCCTCCATCGTAAGCTTCAGGTGTCACATGACCAATCATTATACCTATGAATATTAATAAGATAATTAAAATTTAATATATAAAGTACAATGTAAGTTTTTGGAGCTGTCTTTATTTACCGTGTGATGCACCGCTGAAACGACCATCGGTTACCAAAGCAACGGTTTTTCCTAGACCCGCTCCTACAAGTGCCGCTCCAGGGCTTAGCATTTCTGGCATACCAGGACTAGGAGATATAAATAATAATATTTAACTCTTTGCTTGTATGGTGTACCTTCCTTTAGGGCCTTCGTATCTGATGATTAGAACGTCGCCAGGTTTTATCTAATGGAGATAATCATAAAGGTGCAGTAATTGAGTAATGCTCACTTCTCCAGCCATTATAGCATCATAAGCTTTGTATTCGCCATCAAAGACTCGACACTATAACAAGAGGGAGAGAAAAAAGAGAGAGGAGGAAAAATTATTATTAAAATCATCATTATTAGCTTACAGGTCCAGTAAACGGCTTGTCAAATGACTTTCCACTTAGCTTAAATAAAGCACTCTCTGGACATAGAGAACCCTGTATTTATTTACTTTTTAAAATATAATGTATCTCATTTCTCTTCCCTTACCTTCATTACTATGATGTGATGACCAGGTTGAGCTAATGGATTACTCAAAGGGCGGACTACATCCTAATAAGAACAGCTGGTGGTGGTCTAACTATCATTCAAATCATCTCACTTGTTTTAGGTCAGCCAGTGATGGCGTCTCTGCTAAATTCTCGACAAGACTCTTCCCAGTTACTGTCATACAGTCTCCATGAAGCAAACCACCTGTCAGTAACTCTTTCTGAACAATCTTTTGCAAAAGATAAACTGTATTTATCTGAGCCTTAAGGAACTTACTGGCAGTCCACCAATGTCATGTAGATCGGACATATGATACTATGGAGGAATAGGCATGTGACTACTGATTATCTTTCTTACCTTCCCATGGGGTTTTAGATTAGCTAGAAGTGGGACCCTATCTCCGATGATGTTGAAATCTTCAATCTTCAAATCAACTCCAGCTCTAACCGAGAAAGAAACTTATAAGATTTAGTGTTTATCCTTACTCATGTGCCAGCGCAAGTAAATGCAACACTCCATTAGTAGAACCACCAAGAGCATACATAATGGTAACGGCATTTTCAAAAGCCTAAAAAAGGAGAGAAAGAGAGGAGTAGCATTAGCTATTCACTGTTGTCTCTCTCTTGCTTTTCTTGTCATTATTTGTCTAGCTGTCAGTCGATTTGTTAATAAATTAAAAACAGTGTCGACCACTTGACTGCACTGCCTTTGCTTCTCATCAGTGACCACGTTATCCCGAGATACAGCTGGACTGGAGCATGTTCCTATCATTAATAATTTAATTATTGTTACTCTCCATCGTTGTTGCTGCTTATACCTGGTAATGCCATTCCTAGAGCTTCTATAGCAGAACTCATTGTATTAGCCGTGAACATGCCACCTATGAAAAACCATCGCAATCATTTCAAGATCAGTTTAAACAAAAACTACGTCCACTTCTTAATCAATCCACCCACTCATTTAATTAAGTGCTTACCGCAAGATCCAGAGCCTGGCAGTGCGTGACACTCAATGGTGTGTAGTTCCTCCATGTCTATAATACCAGCACCATACGAACCAATGGCCTCCATTAATGTCTGTGCATCCCAAGCAACGTCTCTTCCTGGGCATTTACCCGGGAGAATTGTCCCTCCATATAGACTAACACCCACGGCATTAAGACGAGCAATAGGCATGACAACTCCAGGTACTGTAGTAAGAAGTAGGAGGAGCTTTAATAACTATTAATTAACCTGTTTTGTCACAGCCTCCAAGAGAAATGATTGCATCCTAAAAAAGTATAAAAATTAAATTTCTCCATTTTTGTATTTTTACCGCGAAATACGCTTGATGCATTATCTCAACACAGTCAGCAATCCAGTCTCTAGAAATCAATGAATACCTCATACCAATTGAGCCCTAATAATATAATAATAATAAAAACAACAATGCTTGTTTACATTAGTTTCTCCGTCGCTGACAACAGGGGTGTTGCAAATGAAGGCCACGCCTATAATTTACATTAAAGTTATAAAATTCGACTCTCTCACCTCCTTTCTTTTCCACTTCAGCAACAATCCAATCAGCTAAAACCCTAAAAAAAGAAAAGAGAGACATTATGTAATTCACATGATAATAATGCTTTACCTAAAGTGATTATTGCAAGGCAATGCGTTGCTGTAAGGAGATACAACAGTGATTATCGGCTTCGTAAAATCCTCATCCTACAAATCACATAATCTCATCCTCTAGTCACGTGATCTTAGCACCCAGTCACGTGACTGCTCACCTTAAATCCTGCTCCTCTGAGGTGTGCTCTGGCTGCAGTCTGAATGCAAAAATAATGAGCCCCACCCACACTTACTCCTTACTCTTTTAATCCATAAATGGTTGTCTTCTTTGCTGCCCGTTAATGCTACACTGTTTAACTGGAGGAAAGGAAAATGAGGCTCCAAAAATTAAAGACAATAATTATAATTTACCTTTAAACTTTTGGCCATGATGAATTAGCCCAAAACGGATTTTAGTAAATTTTTAGTATACTTTAAACACGTGTCATGTAGCACAGAGAAAGAGGTGTGGCTCAATTTTTACACCCACGCACACCTCAAAATGAAGGTTGTGTCTGGTGTTGTCTCAATCATTACAGGTCTTGTTACATGTCTGGCACTTTCTTATGTAAGTTGCATAGTTCAAAACTCACAACTCTTTTTTGCATTAGTTTGTTTTATTTCTCAACAATTGGCAACCAAGTCCTTCTTTGCCAAGTATTGATCACAAGCCCCAAGCCATTGCTTCACTGTTGCTAGTTCCTAGCTCACCAACAGCAAATAACATACTTCTTATGCTGCTCTTTACATTGCCACATACGTAAGAATTCACATGACATTGTATTGTATAGACTACCAATTAGTGAAACTGTATTACATGATGTGTCTGTCCTTATTATAGGTTAATAACATTTGAAAGTGTTAAAAGGCTGCTAATTAATTACTTGCTCTGCTCTGAAAAGAAGTATTACTTGCTTTTCTATTCGTTCTGGGCTTCAGTGTCTCTCCTATTTTTATATACATTCTGGAGTCCATCAACCAGTGAGGTTTGGTCTATCAGACTTAATTGGGCTGCATTAGCTGTGCATGCTCTTCAAGGTAGCTATGCTATAATTATCTAGTGTGCAGTTATATTTTTTCGTGATGATTAGGCATTTTCTTGATCTTGTATTTATATTCTCTTCTCTCGACGGAAATTCTTGGCAACTTTGGGCTTGTTTGGTTTGTGAAATCAACGCTCGGGTTGTCAAAAATAAAGTACGACAGTACCAAATTTTTATCACTTGTTGAATGCGCATTATTGTATGTATAGGAAAGAAAAGGGTGGAAAGGAGAACAAGCTAGTAATTAGTGGTATCTACGGTGTAGTTAGGCACCCATTGATGACCTGTACTATTGCTATGATGTGGCTGACGCCAACAATGGTAATAATAACTATTCTAGTTGCATTCAGTGTTTTTATTCTTCTCTAAGACTATAGGTCATCTCTTCCTAGCAGCTCTTTTTACTTTATACATAGTCCTAGCTGTTAGATTCTCTGAAGAACCAAAACTGATTAAAGAATACGGAATAGCCTATACTAACTATCAGAGGAAAGTCCCGTGTCAGTTAATACCTGGCATATACTGAATGAACTGATGGGTTTTTGTTTTTGCTTGTCACGGAATTTGTGACAATGAAACTAATTGATTTTTGCTTATCACAGATTTTGTGACAATGGTTTTTGCTTGTCACAGATTTCGTGACAATGCAACAAATGTGTTTACTATAAATTATTTATTTATTAAACCCAATAAAATTGGTGATTTATTATTCCAAAAATCATTATAAAAAATATTTCATATCAACATTCACTCCTATAGCATTCTGCAAATCATTTTTGTTGGGTTGTTGCTCTCCTTATAGCCCAAGAGAGCTCATAAGTCTTCGCTGCATCTTCGTAAGTCGATCTAATTAAACCATATTCGCTTTTTGATGAAACTGCTCTCATGAAAGCACTAATCTCCTCAAAATAGGTATCAACGCCAGGGAACGTCTCCACAGACTCCTCGATTGAACCACTCTTCCTTATTTTAAGCGTACACTGAGGGAGATAGGGATTGAGTAGTGATATGTATAGCCCATCACACCACATATCAATACCAGTCTCATATTGATGATCGTGGAGTAACAGGGTATGCGTTAGAGTCCCTATACCGCCATTCTTAAACCTCCAGACACACTGTGTGGCACACGGTGCCATTTTATCTTCAGGGATATCAGCATCTAGCACAACCTGTTAGAAAATAGCAATCATAGCAGAATATTAGATTCATATTAGGTAAATATTAGGTACATGTTTACAAAACAACAAAATACAAGTATACATAAGTATGTCCATTAGTATAGCCTTTAGTCCCTTACCTTTGGTATAGAAGTCAAGAATCCAGTATCAGTTGGATTAGCTGAAAAAGGAACATTATACCCTTTCACTGAGTCTAGCTCCACTTCTCCTCCAATATATCTCACCAGGTCACAGAAATGAGTTGCTTGTTCAATTATAGGGCCGCCAGAAAGCGCAGCGTTCCACCAAAAAACCTTCTTTAAATTCGAGCAAGTGCAGGAGTAGCGGGCATTGAGGGCCACAAGCGGTCGGCCATATTTCTTAATCTCCTCCTTTATCCTGATGATGGCTGGATGATAGCGGAACATGTATCCCACGCTAACCACACAATCCTTATCAGCAGCTGTCTTGGTGACTGCAGAAACGTATTCATTAAATTGCTCTGGAGGAATGACAGAGACAGGCTTCTCCACAAATAGATTGATCCCGCCATTTAAAAGCTGCAACTCGACATCATTGCCTTCTGAGAAACTGCCATGATGAATCGGAGGTACACCTAATAATAATAATAATAACAATAGTAATAATAACTGCCCACCCACTATAAATACAGGTAGGTTAAAGCTAAATTGAATTGTTCTTGCTTACCGATAAAGGCAGCTTTGATATTATTGTTCTCTTTCAATGCAGTAGCAATATCTCCATAAACCTTGCACCCCTTGTAGAGGTGGGAGGAGCTACCAGCGAGCTTCTCTTGGAGTATTTCGTCTGCTTTGTCGGTCAGTGGATCGATTATAGCAACCACTCGTATGCCTCCCAACTTTTCCAATCTTATAGAATGATTCCAAGGATTCTCCGTCCCTCCAAAATTAACGACTCCAGAGCCAACGAAGCAAATATCCACAGTGGGAGCTGCCGCCATCTTGCATTGGTCACGTGATATTTTTAACCCCTACATTAGAGTCCGCCATTTTTAAAAATGGAGGAAGGTGAAGAAGATATAAAGTGGACTCCAGAAATGGAGGTGGCTTTATTTAAGGCAATGCTGGATCACAAGCCAGTTGGTAAATTAATTTTAATTTATTGATTTCAAATCACTGAACTCTAAAAATAATAATATCAGCAATAAGGGATGTCAAAAATTAGCAATTTAGTTCATTATTCGTAATTATTAATGATACCATATAAAATAGGTGTGAACAAACACTGGCATATGCTCTGCATTCATCATCGTATGATAACTCAAGGAGGTGTGGTCATACCTACAAGACTCATTTGGAAGCATCTACAGTCTCTGTATGACCTAGCTGCTTTGGTACAAACGAATATTATATCAAAATTTTTGATTGTAAAGTGTCTCATTTTTAGGACGAAACGGAGGCCCATCCTGTGATATGTGAAGAGTTTTATCTTCCGTCTTATTTTTATCAGCAAGGTTAATATGACATTCACACAAAGCCTACTGTCAAAACTATACTATACAGTCTAATCTCCACATAAGGTCACCTTGAGATTAATACAGTCTCTATAATGTAATGTCCCAATTTGGTACTAAACTACACCTGAAATCACTTTTACACTAATAGTAAATTATTGCAGTGTATTATTATTCAAGCAGCAATGTTGCTATTAGTAATCTTTTTACTAGAAGAAGGAGTTGGGGATGGTGACCAATCTTCATCAAGAAAGAGACACCGTGTGTCATCAAGTCCATCTCCAGCTGCTTCCCCTCTCTCCGTCACTAAGAGAAAAAGAGCTCAGTGAGATTTCGATTGGGTTTGGGAGGAGCCTGTTACTATGACGACCCCCTTTGAAGACGAAAGCAATTTAATATTATTTCCACTATCTGACCCATCTGTTTGTGAATTTCAATTATAATTTAGAGAATTTTAAACAACAAACCTGTTACTCCTTCTAGTATAGAGGACAATTCAGGTGATTTGGGATCTGTGTATTCTATCCTAAAAATTAGAAAGGGGTGTGGCTATGGGTGGAGCCTATTAGTCTTACATGTCATCCAATAGTTTTTCAAGTTTGTTTGCCATAAAGTCGTTTCTTTTTTCATTTTTTCCACTCAAGGCCTTGGTATTTTTATCAGCAGTCACTACAGGCAAAGCTCCTACGGTTGCTTCCCTTAGCTTAGCCTTTTCATCGTCATCACTTTCACTGCTACTGGTCGCCATTTTATTAAAGAGGCGTGGCTTGTTTGAGTGATGTCATAAGGGCAGGGCTGCGGGTGCAGTGACGTCACTGACTGGTCATAAACGCACTTTTTGGAAAATCAAAGAAGAAAGAAGAAAAGAGATGTCTAGAGACAAAGATAGAGGACAGAAACTCCATGAAAAGCACCAGATGATACTAGCCAACATGCTACGGGAGGAGGTGAACAAGTATTGCGCGGACTGTCACGCTAAAGGTAGTTTTAAAAACCATTATTACCTTCACTGACCACCATTTTCTCTTCAGGACCCAGATGGGCCTCTTGGAACATTGGCATATTTATATGTATACGCTGTGCCGGTATTCACAGGAATTTAGGAGTCCATATATCTCGTGTCAAGTCTGTTAACCTTGACAGCTGGACACCAGAGCAGATCGAAGTAAGATATTCCCCTAGTATATTCCCCTAGTTGTAAGATATTTCTGTACCCTTTGCTCTTTATGCCAACTAGCCGTAACACAAATATTTATTATTTCTTGGCCTTTGACACAGACAAACAGTTGTAGTCTAAAATGATAACTGTTACTGAATGTCATTTGTACATGTACCTCCACCATCTTCCATTGTTTTGGCTATGAGTGATATTTAGAGTAGAAGTTCTTTGTGTAGGGCACAAAAGAACTTAAAAAATCAATCACCTGACTTTTACATGTGGATAAGTTGTAGCAATTGTGTATTCATTGTGACCCCATAAATGGAGAAAATGTTTCACAGCTCCCCCTGTGGAGATACACCTAGATTCATGTTTGAAAATATTGTAACACGTGTGCCTTTGTGACTTCAAAGCAATGACAGATTGAATTTGTCACTCACTAATAGAAAATGTCCCTTGAAAGCTACATGTACATGTTTATTTCTATTGTGCTATTTAAAATCTGAATATTATGATCAATTCATTCATGTGAAGCATAATTATACTATATCCCAGTTCAGTTTGGGACGGAAGTGGAGCAGCTGCGAAATGTAGTTACGTCACAAAAATGACGTATTTTAATTATATTCATAGAAGCATGGAGGCTGTGTTGTTTCACTCTTAAAACAGTCTTGCTGTTGCTGATAAGCAGTACAATAGCTGCTGGAGCCTACTAGTCTTCATAATGGCCATTATTATCAAAAGATCTGGCTCTGTTAGCTTTTTAAAAGAAGAATTATCAGTTTGGGCGCTCGACCACATGTTCTTATGTAAACTATGACGTAGATAAATTGTCATAAAACGTCATTTTGGTATGCCATTGGGTTTATAGGGAGAACCCGGTTCTCAGGGTTCCCAAGGGCTGAGAGACCCAAAATTTCACAGATTTTGATGGACTTTGGCGACTAAGAACCTGTAAAAGTTTCATCCTTATCCCACATTCCTATAGAAAGTTATTCCAGTTTTTCTTGTCCCAAACTCAACTGGGATATAGTATATTATTATTTATTTTTATTTATATTTTTAGTCTATTCAGACTAAGGGTAATGGTTACGCTAATGAAATATACGAAGCGTCACTTCCGTCAGGTTTTAGGAGACCACAAGACGACTAGTAAGTCACGTGACAGTCACATGATCACACTCATTCCTTTACACCTTTAGTGCCGTCGAAACTTTCATTCGTGCCAAGTACGAGCGAAAGCAGTACACAGCCAAGTCGTCTAGTAGTTCTTCGGCTCCTAAGGAAACCAAAGCTCCTTCAAAACCGGCAGAGCAAAGCTCTAGACTGACGACAGGCTCTGGGTCTTCTTCGTCTCGTGGAACCAGCCCATCACGACCAGTCGCTATCGAGCGACCATCTTCTAATAGCACAGCAAGTAGCTCTGTATCTAGAGCTAAACCAAGGAAACAGCCACAGCAAGAAGTAAATAGGATGTATATATTATGTATTACATGTACTTGGATGCTTGGTTGGTTAAGTGAGTTATCATCACTTTCTGATGCATGACAGGAAGTGATAATGGTGCTGATTGATGTTCCAATGATGTCAGTATGTACTTGTTGATTTTCCTTATAAGGATGTATAATAAGCATATCATTAACCTCTCCTTCCTCAGTATGTGTACATTATCTAACTTCAATGTCTACATTCCTTTCTCATAGTAATGGCAGACATTGATACACCTAGTATTTTATAATTTTTTTTTCAATTTTTAGTTATTAAGTTTTGATGCTAAATCAACCCCCAGTACTGCGACCACCACTCCTGCCCCTAACCCCACCCCCAACCCAACAGTTAATCTACTTACAGATGAGCCTTTAATCTCTGCCCCTAAGCAAGCAGATAATCCTCCTCCGCTAATGGGAGGGATGACTTCAAGCCCGGGTCCTTCCAGAGCTGTTAAAGATTCCATAATGTCACTGTATGGAGTGCAGCCTGGCTATACTGCATATGGTCAAACTGGGGGTAAGTAGGTGGAGATAATTCTGCATTTTTATAACATTCTCTGATACATATACATGTTTTTATGTTGTGTTGAAAG